GGCAGCTCGGCCTCCCCGGGGCCGCCCCCGGGACCGCCCCGCCGCCAGGTGCGGTGCCGCCAGCCCTGGGCTCGGGAAGTGCTGTCACGGCTTGAGCAGGCCGGGGAGGTTTCTGCGGGCCGGGCCGGGCCGGCTAGACCTTTCCGTCGGCGGTCGCCGAACCGGGATCGCCGCCATGAGCAAGATCTCCAGGTTTTTCAAGGGGGGCGGCTCGGCCGCCTCCAAGGGCCGCGGAGGGCCTTCGCCGCAGGAGGCTCTTGCCCGGCTGCGGGAGACAGAGGAGATGCTCAGCAAGAAGCAGGAGTACCTGGAGACGCGGATCGAGCGGGAGCTGGCGGTAGCCCGGCAGCACGGCACCAAGAACAGGCGAGGTGAGTGCGAGCCGAACCCCGCTGCCCTCCGCCCCCGCCGGGCTTGCGAGGCTTTAAATCCCAGGGCTGGAGCGCCTCTGGGTCCTGGGGTCTGTTCGGAACGAGGGACTCGGGTCTCACCGGGGCTGTGGCAGGGCCGGGTCAGCTGACTCCGCAGGTGTGCGGTGTGAGTCGGCTGTGGGCTCCCAGCAAGTATCAACCCACGCGAGGCGGGATGGTCTTTGGCATCTGTTAGTGTTTAGTGTACTGTGGATTTATTATGGTGGGGTGGTAATAGGATGCTTTATTCCTCGCTAATTTACTGTCTGTGGCTTCCTATGCGACACACGTGCTTTGCACCACAGTGAACGCATGTGTCGGCTGGATACCTGGAACGCAAAATACTGCTGCTCACTGTGGGGAGGGGATCACAGCTTGGAGATTGAGTATTGGTTGGGCGGGTGGAAAAGGAGCTGAAGGATGTGAGGATCTCCTGTATTCATGAATAAATGCATATTATCCCCACTGGTGGCAACTGAGGAACAAAGTGATTCAGTGATTTGCCTCAAATTATGTAGGATGTACATGATACAACCAAAAAATGAATGATAGTTTAGAGCATTACTGACTACTGGTCTGGGCTGCTGTTAGCTGCAAAAGAGAGATAGTAAGGGGTAATAAGGTCTGGCTCCTGCACGTACAGATGTTCTCATCTCTGGGAAGCAAATGATGGTAGTCAGTGTCTTGGGGATATAAAGGGCTTTGAGAAACAGGTTAATTACTTCCTGAAGTCAACTAGAGGCCTGTTTGTCTCCTCTGAGATGTATTTTTCTTTAAATGCTTTGAAACAGAAGAAAAATTAGAATTAAAGATTTCTGATGTAATGACATGGTAGCTTTTTGTCTGCTCTTTCTGTTATTTAATAATTTAAAAAATAATGCCATGTAACTTAGAACTTGTGAGGAGCTGCTTGTTAGAAGTGTTTTGGTTAGCCCTATAATGTATTTGTAATACTTTAGCATTTAACAAGTATTAGCAAAAGGCCATTTAACTTAACTAACTTTTAGTTACACAGGATTTAAAATCATGGGTCGAGATGGGACAGGTTTGAAGGTACAGTCAGAGGGAGTAAAGCCAGTTGAGCAGCACATCTAAGCCAGGTACTCTGCAGCATGGGAGCTGTCAGGGTTGTCACAGTCCCACACTTTTCTACTCCCCTGGCTTCAGCTGGAGTATCTCTGTGCTGTTGCAGTGAGCTAGTTCAGGAAGGTGATCCAACTGGAAACTAATTTGCTATGGGACAAAGTGACTGGGTTGCTCCTGAGGCTGAGTTCATTGTGCAAAAGCCCAAGCTAGAGATCTGATGCAAGAAAACAGACTGGTCTTTTGACTGTAGAAATTCCTGGTTAAATCCAGGTGTTTGTTGGCCTCATACTTCAGGCATGCAGTGTTTGATATCTGAAACTTTTCTTCCAAATTGTTTTTTGCACTTCTGTACTCAATATGCAGTTCCCCTGGTTTTTAATCTATGAAATTGTTCATGGAGTGATGCTGCAAAGTGGATTGTTGAGCTGATCATAGTTAAAAATAACTCCCTTTTATCTTGTCAGTTGCTCAGGCACCAACAGTTAAGGACAGTAAAGAGGCAGGAGTAGGGCACGAAGTGCAGTTTGGCACTGCAAAAAGTGCATCCATGCAAAAAGTGGTTCTAAAGCCAAAATGAGATAGTGTAAGTACAGTCAGAGGAGAAACGGGATAAACTAACCTTGCTGTGCAGGATAATGAGTGAACTGAAATCTCCAATAATATGTCTTCATTTGATATGTCAATTGCTTTACAGTTTAATTGCTGTTGATTTACATATAACAGCATAATACATATGGTGTATTGTACTGTATAGTTCAGAGAAAATCTGTTCTAACCAGCGTCTGTGTGTATGTAACATTATGTAAACATACACACAAATGAGAGAATGAAGGTTTTAATCTACATTGCCTTGTTAATGTTTCAAGGGGACTTCACAGGTAATTTTTAATGTGGGTGTGGTTTTTTTTCCTAATTTTTAATTTTAATTTTGGTTTTAATTTTTCTTAATTGCATCTGTGGAGAAGCTTGTGGAAACTAAAATGGGACTGTTTGAGACTGGAGTAAGATTTCTGTCTAGAGATAGAAAATGTATCAAATTAGCATGATCTCATTTGATTTTTAGGTGTCTGAGTCAGTAATACTAACACAAGAGAGAGCAGATTCAAGCACCAGCAATTTCTCATATGAGTTCATATGACTCTTGAATGGGTTCATGTGACATCAGCAGGCTTTACTGGATGTAAAAGCTGTAACGCGTTAGCTATGCAAATAGATGTGAAACATCACTTAAATACTTCTGGCTTTTCCTTTATGAAGTGAGTATCTCCACAGTTCCTGTACCTAGTCTGAAATTGGCTATTAAATACATTTCCAGCATTCCCCATTAGTATCTTATTGTGGCTAGACAGCTTCAGGGTTTTTGAAACAACAGTGTTTGTTGGAATTTATCCTGCAGAGGTTACGTGATGATAAGGAGTATTTTTTTTCACAGTTAACACTGCCTTTTAATCTCTTCCCATTTCACACACACTTTTTGTGTGTGTTTTGTTTTGTTTTTTATCTCTTGCTGTACTTTTTGGGGTATCTCAGTTTCAGCCAGTACACAGCTGCCAAGTCCATTGATGAACTGGCCTTTCTTCTCCATTATTTTGAAGGTCATACAGGAAAAATTAAAGGACAGAAAGTTATACTGGATATTTGAAAACTCTATTTAAAAGGAAACGTATTTTCTGAAGTGCACTAGTAACTGTGAAAATAACGTACATATGAATGTGTGTTGTTTCAGCCTAGAGTCTTTCACAGATACTAAAAAAAAAAAAATCTAAATGAAAGGAATAAAGTTAAGAGAAGCCATCCAGAATAGAATTAAATTTCAACTGTAAAGAACCACATAGTACTACTGAGGACAAAACCTTTGAAGAAAACTGAAATAGCAAGGAGGGGTTTACAGCTATATGCTGTGTGTTATGTTCGTGTGTTATGTTCGTGCAGTGCTTATGTAGCCCTGTAGCATTCCTTTTCAATGAGGTGGTTGTAACCAGGAGGCCACTGAAACCAAACAACGGTGTGGCAGTTGTGTGTTATGGACAGGACAGTCATGCCTGTGGAAGGGTGAGGGACAGATTGGGAATGAGGGATTCTGGCAGGGAGGTAAGAGGAAGCCCTTAGTTGTGTCTTTGTTCTGCAAGTTGCAGCAACTGTTCTCTGATCTTCATGATCATGTTTCAAGCGTCTTGCCATGAACTGGAATACTTGTAACTAGTTCAGTACATTATTGCTCTTGAATTCAGTTGTAACTGTGTGTGGCTTCCTCCACAAGGCTTTAAGGATTATGCATATTGGCAGTGAACTTAATTAGGGTCCTATGATTTTTATGGCCCCAGCAGCATTGCCTTTGGTTGTCCCTGGTGTAAGGGAGATCAGAAGTTGCAATCCATTGATCCCTTGCAGGACTGAAGTGGAGGTTTGTGAGCTATATCCAAGGATGAGATCCAGCACTTTCACAATGATGTTACGTCTTCTGAAGAAACACTCGTTTCCTTCTTCCTGGGAATTTTAAGGATTACTAGACAATCCATTTATTTCTACTTCAGAAGATGAGATTATTGGTGCTTCCTGTACTCATGAGCGTTGGTGATGGGCTTGACAGGCGAAGGCGTTGTTACCATTGTGCTCTCTTTTCGTTGTGATCTGTCATGAAACCACGAGAAGGGCACCACAACTCTTCCTATTTCACTACTTTCCTTTTGAAACCTGGATACTCAGTGTGGCCAGGATTACTATTGCCCAGCTGGTTATTTTTTCTTCTTTAATGAAGTATCAGCATACTAGTGATATTGGAAAAGTGCTCTTCTGTATGTTAATAATAGCAGTTCATTCAGATGCATACTTAAACTGACATAATAGTCTTCTGTTGTTCCAGGCGCTTATCTTGCCTATAAAATAGAAGCTCACATTAAAAGCACTTTTTCCTAATCTATGAGCTGTATCCTGCTTGCTGGACTCAGAAGTACAGGAAATGTGCTAAAGCCCAGCCAATGGTTAACGATTATGAAATGCAGGAGTTGAATCAGCTTCTTTGGAGCACAACCGGAAAAGTATATGATACTGCTTTTTTTTTTTTCTTTTTTCCTGGGGAAGACCTCCACCTCTTCCTGCTTCAATTGCTATTAATTACACTTGCTTCCTCAGACTCTACTCCTGCTAGACCTATCCTCCCTGGGCTGTCTTCCTTTTTGAGATCTTTGGAATGGCCAGCACCTTTTTACAGTGCCATTCTTAGATCTTCATCGAAGTAAGTTTGTGTTCTGTGCTCAATTCATTCTTTTTTGAGAGATATGTTCTTCTGCAGTTTGGTAATTATAATGCAGTAGCATTATAATGCAGAAGCATTTTAATCCTGTAAGAGTTACACAGAAAGTTTAAAATGCTTGTAATGTGCAGTAGAAAAGCACTAAAAGTTCACGATACTCTGTAAAACACAGATAAATAGATTTCAAATAACAAGGAAATACCCATAAATGGTCTAGGAGCTATTATAACAAACCACTGTGCAATAAAGGGCATTCATTTAATACAAATCAGGAAAATCATATAGTGTGATGTGGGGAATTATTATGCCTTGGTTGATAATGAAGAAGGACGAATTAATTTCCTCTGAAGTGATTTATTCTGTAAGTTACTGGTAAAACTAAAGAGACTGAAGATAATATGTTGCACTACAATAATGAGGAAAAGATGTTTATGAAGAGGTGAAGTCAAGGACTTTAGCTTCTCCTGTGGTTTCTTAATTTGGGTGTGGTTTAATTAAATGATCTTCAGGATTTTAAAAACAACTGCTTTGTGTGTCACTGCGGAAATCCATTTTCTCTCTGAGTGGCCAATAAAAACAGCACCATTGCAGAGTCCCATTTCTGAATAATGCTGGCTGGAAATACTGCCCTGTGGTAGATGCTTATTCCAATTGAAGCCTTTCTGCATCAGTTGGTTAGTGCTCCTCTGTCCACAGGGCTTTAGGGTCCTCTCTGGCACAGCTCGTGTTAGGTACAGTTTCAGACTTTTATATTTGTCTGTAATCTTTAGCTTCCTAGGAAGAATCCAGGATCAAATTTGATTCGAGGAAAGCTAAGGAAGGAAATGGCTAGTGTGCTAACACTACCAATAATAAGCATAAATAAATAGGAAAGTAATAAGTAGGTAGAGATTGTTTGGGATTAAGTAAAAATGATTTATTTTGGAATTGCCAGTGAGAATTTTACAATTCTCACATTTGCCATTTGCAAGACATCATCTGGTGTTCAGGCATCTTCTGTGGAATATGCATGATCTTTGGACCATCCCCCAAAACCTGGGAAAACCTTGAACTTGAATGCTGTGATTAATGTGTTGTGATTGCGGTTTGCTGTCCTGAAACATCTTATTGCATGTTCTAGAATCTTAGCCCGTGTGAATGCCTGTCCTTGCACAGCTCCTAGTGTGCAGTTCTGACCATGTTGATTCAAGCATTTGTCAACTAAGCACTAATTTTTCTAGTGTGGTGTTACACATCAAAAATCTATGCCCCCTCTTTGGAGAGATCCTAACTTCATTTGAAAAGTTGTGTACCCCAGTGTCAAGGTTCAGTATTATTGTACATGAGCAATTATTTGAAAGGATGGCAACAATAGTTGCTGCTGTTGATTGAGTCTGAGGGGCTGCACAGCTGTTGCTTGCAGGCTCTGAACCTGATTAAAAAATTAAATGTAGAAGACAAGGGGAGGAATATGGGTGTAAATAGCATTGAAGAAACAATGGATTAACTCAGTCTCCTGGTTTTGTTTGGTGGTTTTTTTGCCTGGCACATCTGTAGTTTGCAAGGGACAGTGGTCAGGAAATGCTTGTGGCGAGATTGTGTGTGTTCCTCACCCTGAGGCCAAGAGAAAGTCCCAAGTTCTGGTAATGATTTACTCTGAGCAAAGTATGCTGCTCATAACTTAGCAAATATAAAAGACTAATCTCGATAATTTACAAAGATACTGGGGTGTAGCTGAGTTTGACTGTGCCTTTGTCTACAAAGTTCTATATGTTTTCAAATTCTAAGGTTTAAAGATCATCTTCCTAAGTGATTGTAAGAAACAGATGCAGCTGAAAGCCAGAGAAATGTGTCCTCCTTTGATCCAACCCACCTGCCTGGTCGGGCCATTTGGGCTTTCCATTGCACTTCACAGTTACTGCTGTTGAGACAAAGTTTAGAAAGCAGCATTGCTGGAGGTGTGGTTATCATGATAGATCTTCTTATGCTGTCTTCTTTAGTTTTTGCTTATGTTTGGCAACTTCTTCTTTTCTCCTTTCCTGTGTTTTCTCCTTTCTCACTCTTCTCTCACGTTTTTCTCTTTCTTCCCCATTTTCTCTACTCTGCCTGTGTGCACAGGATGGAGTTCAAGATCTCCCGCAGTGGAGGAAGAAGCTGCTCTTCCCTGTGGTTCTAAAAGGATTTAATCTAAAAGAGGCTTCCCAGCATGTTCATGCAACAGCATGTTGGTGATAAACAGGCTGCTGATGTGGTGTGGTCAAAGTTTGTCTCCCTGCTAGTAAGGTAGGAGGGTGAGAATTATAAATTCTGGAGGTCAGCTTGGTGCTGAACTACTTGGCCTTGCATTTTGCTATGAAAACACACAGTGCACTTTGCCTCTTCCTATTCCAGCTGCCTTACAAGCACTGAAGAGGAAAAAGAGATATGAGAAACAGTTGAGCCAAATTGATGGGACGCTTTCGACCATTGAGTTCCAGAGAGAGGCATTGGAAAATTCCCACACGAACACAGAAGTGCTCAAGAATATGGGTTATGCTGCACAAGCTATGAAAAAAGTACATGAAAATATGTAAGTGCTTTCTAATAGCTTTCAAATTGAGCTTATTGACCACTTTCAAACTATTCCATCACTGCAGACTGTTGTATCAAGTTAGACAGTTTTTACTTCATTTTTGGTTCAGGCGTCTAATGTAAGGAATGCTGTTGGTGCTGCAGTGTTATATTTGGCAAAAAAATATCTTTTCTTAACATCGAGTCTAAAAGGAAGTTCACTTAAGTAGTGAGATCTGTGTGTTACCTGGTTTTTTTTGTCTATCTTGGCAGTGGTGACTGGCCTCTGCCCTTGGTTTGTCCAGAAGAAAATTTAGTTATAGAAACTAAGTGAACTCTTTTCCTCAGAATCCATAAGCTAGACTGTGGGATTCAAAGTACTGGTTAGACCCGAATAAAAATATGACATGGACAAAAAAAATTACTCTCTTTTTTTTTTTTTTATATGTCCTATGTTGTTTCAAGGGGTGTTTTCCTGCCTGAATAAACAGAGTTAAATCAGAAAGGTTTTTCTGAAAGAAGCAAACAGGAATTGAAACAATAATGAAGTTAACAATAAGGGGAAGTCTTTAAATGGGGTACAGTTCTCTTAAGTTGCCCTCGGTTCTGGTGAAAGTTTAACATCAAGAAAGGTCCATGTAATCATAGAATAGATTGGGTTAGAAGTGACCTTTAAAGGTCATCTTGTCCAAACACCCTGCAGTGGACAGGGGCATCCTCCACTAGATCATGTTGCTCAGAGTCTGTCCAGCCTGACTTAGAATGTTTCCAGGGATGGAGCATCCACCACCTCTCTGGGCAACCTGTGCCAGTGTTTCACCACCCTCATTGTAAAACACTTCTTCCTTGTGTCAAGTCTAAATTGACCCTCTTTTAGTTTAAAGCCATTACCCTCTGGCCTATTGCAACAGGCCCTGCAAAAATGTTTATAGCTGTCTTTCTTACAAGCTCCCTTTTAAGTACTGAATGGCCCATAAAGATACTGACCTTGGGGGATCTGCCCGGGGGGTGTGACTGTTGCCTGGCAGAGGTCTGAGAAGCCCCGAGGGGGAGAGAGACACACTCTGCTGCAGCTTAATTTTTGTTATAATCCAAAAGTGGAAGAAGTTGGATTGGCCAAAGCACACAGAAGCTTTTAGTGTAGGTGTTGAGGTCTGGGTGAGGAAATTATTCCCTGTGAGTTCTGCTGTTTATACAGCCATGGGCATAAAAAGAAAATAGAGTCAGTTCCAGTGAGGCTCTTCTGTAGGATTTGGATGATATATCTTTAAAAATATGTTTCCATGTTATCTTTCCAGGGACTTGAACAAAATTGATGATTTGATGCAAGATATCACTGAACAGCAAGATGTTGCCCAGGAAATTTCAGATGCTATCTCAAACCGAGCCACCTTTGGTGATGAGTTTGATGAGGTTAGTACTTCAGGCCTGTGAGTTTTAGTTGTTAGATGACTCCACAGTTATTTGGTTATTGGTTGTGACTCCACAGCTGTTGGTTGTGCAGTGGTTTGTTTCTTAAAAGGTGTGGATGTGAAATTCCTTGGTTCTATCTAGGACAAGTGTATAATTTTTATATAAATATTAAATATGTTAATATATAAAATATATACTAAAATCTGTATGTGAAATATAAAAACTACTTTTATTTATATATAAATTTTAAGAAAACCATTTTTAACTACACTCCTGTACTTGTTTTTCTCATTTGAACCATGGAAGGAGGAGATCACTAAAACATGTAATTTGTACTACTCTAAGTGGACACTGAAACATATAATTTTTTTGTGGTCCAAACAGACATCCGTTTGACTAAGTGCAGTTCCTGTGCCGTGAACAGGCTGCTGTTCACAATTCTGAATATTTGGACCATTTTTTTAAGGTCATTTTTGGTGCTGGGACATGCAGGTCCTTTCCTTTTTTTTCCAGATTTTCTACAGAAGTAGATGCATTACATAGACATAATACCCGTTGGTGGCAATAAGGTTTCATCCTTGAGCTCTTTCTTCTGAAATGCCCACAAGGCATTTAGGACCTTCTGAAAATTTGTTGCAGTAACTTTCATCCAGTGCTCCTGGATTTGGTTTTGTGTATCTAAGCATGTTATTACTTATTTCTGATGCAGCCATGGCTGAGGACTCAAGGGTCAAGGGTACTCAAAATTCTTGTGATCTGTGAAATGCAGAGCTGGGAATCAGGTTCAGTATCACAACAGTTTGGTTTTGTTTTTCAATTTTGTTGATTTGGGATCATCAGGGATCATTTGAAGAATGTCCTGAATAATCAGACAACTCACTCTATCCTGAACTAATTTGTTCTTGTATACCCAAATGGACAACAAAGAAAAATATAAGTGTGATATCATACATATTCGCTTGACTAGGAGGAAGGGGAGGTTTCATTCAATAGTTATAATTTGTTGAAAATAGAAATAATTCTTTGTATTTTGTTCCCATTGTCTGCTTTCCTGTTTTTCCACTTCAAATGTAAATAGACTTTCCAAGAAACATGTGCAGTACTGGCACAAGGAATGGGATTTGGCCTGTATAAACTGGGCTTCAAACAATTGAAAAACATAGTGCCATCCCAAGCAGCTGTACAGTGTCTTACTTTTCATCAGTACTTAACTTTTGGGGGCCTAGCCTTAGTAAGCATGTTTTAGATTGATCTGAAAGTTCCTAAGAGGTACTAGTCTAAGTTGATGTGCGTGGTTCCTGTTCTGGGACATAAGCCACTGGCACATGGGACATCTTTGTACCAGCACCTGCTTTTGCATAGGAGCCTAATACTTACAGCACTTGGGCAGTAAGTGGAAAATCTGGTTTGCAGGCCACTGCAGCTTAAGAGTGCTAGAATCAATGACTTAATTGCTCAGTTATGAGGTGATTTATGTTGGTGGATGATATTTAATTTTATTTTTTTGGAGGACGTTTTGACCACACACTTGGATGCATTTTCTCTTCACTTATGTGCCTTGGGTGTAAGGAGATCATGGAAGCATGTGATTTCTCCTGCTCCAGACAGGCACAGAAACATAAGGGTTCTTTCTCCCTGGGTTGACACAGTGTTTGTCATGAAGAATGCAAAAAAGCTCTGTCCTGCCTGAGTAGAATGCTCTCTGGGAGGGGTGATCCTTGCCTGGAGTCCTGTTTCTGATAATCAAATGTGAAATACACACCATCCAGCGGACAAAGCCTGGAAACTGCAAGTTCAGATAGTATCTTCCCTCTGCTCTTGCAGAGGCCTAGGTTCAAGAGGAGAAAGGGGATTTGTTGTAGCTATTGCAATGCTCCACAGCCTACTTGTAGAACAGTTTTTGAGTTGTGGGAAATTAGTAGCTAAGTCTGTTCTCAAGAGTGAATAGAACTTGAAACTAGAGTCTCCACTTTGAGAGCAAATGTTCTAGCCTTTACATTATTATGTTAAAGGTGTAGGCTCATGATCATTGTTTCGTTCACATCTTTTTTAAAGAATGCTTGTCATGACTGACACTTCCTCTTAATTGTTTTCTTGTTCAGTGGAGGTTGGAAAGGACTGATTTGGCATGGAAGGGGGTTAGATGACCATCTAGAATTTTTCAGAAATACCTGTTGCCATTGACTTCACAACAGCTTGGACACTAACTTTTTAAGAAGCTTGTATGCACAGCACTGACTGAGGCATTTAAAGTACAAGCAGATTTGCACTTCAGCTAAATGCTTAAGTAAAACAGGGAGCTCCAACTTGCACGTTTCCTTGAGAGATCAGCTGGGAATTGAACATCATCAGGTGTAGACCTGATGCTGAAATTTTTAGATCATATCCAAGGATTTGCACTACCAGGCAAACTGTAGCCATTTTTTGGCCGTAAATTATAAAACCATGAGAAAGTAAATCTAGGTAGGAAGGCCAGTGATGGCTATGTAACTATCATTTAACTTCTGCATTGGTGATAAACAAAGTATAAATGTGTAGGCAAAGCCTATTTCACTACCTTGTAGCTCTTTGCTACACAGACACATTTTCCTCAGCCACTTTTGCCCATTGTTTCTTTTTAAACCATTTTATCAATGTGGCAAAGGTCTGTTTCTCTACAAATAATGTTAACATTTAGCTTCCTTTCTTTAGGAACCTCCAGCCAAGGAGTAGGTTCTTTGCTTTTTTAAGAAGTGTACAGCTTTTTTATTTTTAGCATTATCCAAGTGGATTAGATCATTTGTCCAAATCAGCTTCTGCAGCTGAAACCCCAAGAGTGTTGTGTGCTTCAAAAGTGAATAGCAGGACCCAGAGGACAGTTCTGATTCCAGTGCTGTTTTGAAATTATATATAATCGTGGACTTGTGTTATAAGGCTGAAGCATAATGTTTAATGGCAGTCTACCTTATAACCAAAGCTGTTTGCTTTTTAAAATGGGAGAAATAGCATCTTAAAATTAGAATCCATTGAAGAGTACAGTGTCTAGATTTGGAACAAACCTAAGGAGAGCAGAGAAGCTTTTTCCCCACTGTGTTTGCCTTTTTTACAAGTACTGTACTGCTGTCAGTTTTGTTTCTAATTTTGTTCTTTGTCCTGTTTCTAACTTCCATGGTCCTTCTTTCAATGTTCAATTGAGGTTTATCGTTATTGCCCATATTTAGTAAAAATTATACTTTTAATATGCTGAGTTTTGATATGTGTTTTCAGGTGTAAATTGTTTCTTCAGTAGTGCTTTGCTTCATGATATTTAAATGTGCCCTTGCCTCCGATCCCTGTCAGTACAATGAATTTGTAAGTAATGTTTTCCTTGAATTTAGGATGAGTTGATGGCAGAGTTAGAAGAACTGGAGCAAGAAGAACTGAACAAGGGAATGAGACATGTCAGGTTGCCAAGTGTTCCGTCCACATCGCTGCCTTCTCGCCCTGGTAAACTGCCTGCTTGCCATTTTACATTTCTTATTATTAAATCATGCTGTGAGAAAGAGGAGAGGAAAAGAGAGTTTCAGATATGTATTTAACTCTGTTTTAACTTTTTAAGTGTTATAAATTCCTTTTTTTACCTTTGTATCTGTTTAACAGAAAAAGCAGAGTGTAAATCTGTTTTTCTCTATGAAAGCATTTAGGGTTAAATTCTCTGTAGGTATGGGGAGACAAACTCAGGGAACTTGACCTTGCAGATATACTGATGAATCTCCAACTGAAATGTAGTGAGATTATTGAGGAATGGGAAGACTTTTTTTTTTTTTTGCAATTAAATCCTTAGTCTCTTTTAATTAGAGTCTGACCTAGATTCAAAATGTTAGCGTCACAAGGATCCAGCTTTGTGGGGTAGTGGTTTGATATTTGCCACTGGTGTTTTAATTAGAAAGGAAGGAGGCAGCAGGAAGCACACATTTAAAGAAATATTTTCATTCCTTTGCTTGTTTTCTACTGAACAGGCTTATTTCTGTAGTCTTAAGCTGTAGTCTTATTTTTCTGTAGTTCTGCCTTGTTCATTTTGAATTAAGCCAGAGTCAGACAACCTTTACTCCACCTTTCACCATATCCCTGTTGTCCTCTATCAGCTGAAAGATTTGCTGTGTACTGAGGCTAGTAAAAGAATATAAATATTTCATGGCAGCACACATGTGACACAGGTTGTTTATGGTGTGTTCTGCTGCAGAACAGGTTACCTAGACCAGGCTGACTCATAGACTATTACATGTGTTTTGGCAGATGGCATTTAAATCCTGAAATGTAGTTTCAAACATTCAGACTGAGATTGTGGCCTCATCTACGGAAGTCAACTGCAGAACAGCTAGTAAAAAAAAAATTAAAAAATTTAGAAAAGCAGTGCAAATTGCACTCTGGTCAATTATAGCTTGTTCATACATTGTCTTCCAGCTATGGCAGTTGACATTTTTATTAAATCCAGACTATCTCCATGTACTTCTCACTATCTTAATTTTCTACTTCATCTGTCTGTATGGTTACTTCAGGCAAAATTAGCTCGTTACAGTTATATAGTTTAAGGCCTTGCAAAACTGGCTTATGTTTTCTGAAACTCAGTGCTTACAAAATCACAAGCAAAATCAGTACAGCTAATCGATCTATAATGCTTCTAATTAGAGATGCATGTTACCCTCCTGATCTTGAAGATGAGGAAACTGTGAATGGAGCAAGGCACAGTGACCTTCCCCGGTCACACAGTGAGCCAGTGGCATTTGCAGAATAGGGACAGGACCTGTGGTCTCCTGCATCCTTTTCCTGAGGGTGGTAGCTGCAGTCCCACCCCCCCATCCCCCAACAAGGTTGCTCCTGGCCCTGTGGCTGCTGCAGGCAGGAGGCAGCTGGCTGCTGTGAACTTGCCCAGGAGGGTGATGCACCCAGCAACAGTGTTCCACTGGCATTGGGAGAGGTGCCAGTCCTGACACACACAACCCATACACAGATGGAGACAGCCTGAGATTGAACCTGGGCTGTAGGGCATCTAGTTTGTAGGTCAGCAAATGAAGACTACTTGGGCAAGGTTTTAGTTTGGTGAATGCAGATGTGTGATAGGACATTTGGGTGCAAAGGGAGAAAGTCTGTGTGGGAGCTGATACAGAGCTGGGGATTGCTGATGCTGTGAACACAGTAGTTAACTGATGTCACCTGAGCATAGTAAGTTCAGGAATTTCTTTGTTCCTTTTAATAAATGACACCTCCCTTTAAAATGGGATGAGTTCATCTGGAGACTGGACTTGCCTAAGCAGAACCTTTCAGCCCTATTTGGAAAGGTAGCAGGATGTGCAGCTGGCCGGGGTAGGTCACTCGTGCCTGTTTACATGGTGGTGAGAGAACTGGCAGCATTCTTTGTGGGCATTTTCTGGCTGTGACAGCTTTTAGAGATTAAATGTATTTTTTGCAGGAGTCTTTCAGTAGGAATTACATCAGACCTGTATTTGTAACCTCGGGGTTATGTGTGAGATAATGGTAAGGCAAAATAGTCACATCTCTCATGAGCTTCATTCCTGTATTATCCATGTTCAACTTGCTACTCAGTAAATTGATCTGAGATCTTCAAACTGAAAAGCACTATGCAAGTCCTCATGCTAACAGATAAAATGGTTCTGACTGTTGCATTAGTTGATGATTATTGTCTCTTTCTCTGCAGCATCAACCAGAAGGAGAGCAGAGGATGAAGATGAAATGAAGAAGTTAGCTGCCTGGGCTTCATAAGAGCATGGTCTTTTTATAACACTGTGCATTATAGTGCAAGTGTAAAGAGCTGCAATGCTGTTTTATAACCTTACTGATTTACTGTGGTTGCACTTCATACAGGCTGTTACTGCCATATTACAAAACTAGTTTAAAAAACAGCAAACGAAAATTGCAACAGTTTCTAAAACCTCCAAGCATCAATTTTTTTTCAGCATCCATCACAGATTTGTTTTGTTATTAGTAAGAGTTTTTATTATTTTTTATTTATATTTTACCATATCTTCTGGTTTGTAAAACCTATGTGCCTCACTTACGCACAGATCTGGATTTGTTGTTGAAATGAGAAAGTTAAGTAAGTCATCAGTGTCCTATACTAAAGGGTTATTTGGTTCAGACTATTTGAATATTAGCTGTTTTCAGCTTTATACATGCCCTGACTTGCAAGTTCCTTTGAGCCCAAGAGCTAACAGCTATTCCTTTGGGCATGAAGATTTAAACATCTGCCTGGAGCAACTTATGGTGTCCTAGATATTAAGAGGAGACTCTTCTGTAGGTTTTCTGAAGTGGGATAGGTTGTTTTGTTTTAACTTTGGCAAAAATATCCCATGTACTTCTATAGGTCAGCTTGAATTGCATTTTGAACTATTTCCAACTTGGTTGTAGAATTACAGTGATTGAAGAAAATGAAATGTCCAAGTTCATACAGATCCCTGCCAAACAAAACTGATTTTCACTAACCCTGTCAAAAATCCAGAAGAAATTTCTGTCTATTTTTCCTCTACCTTGTCTTTCTAGGGTGAGTCTTTACTTTGTATGATAATACTCATCCTCAATGAAATTAGTAACACATTTTTAATGATATAATTTCAAAATAGTTCTAATTTCTGAGCATTCGGGTCTTTTCTCTTACTCAGTTTATGAATGGAAGTAATACTGGTGCATTGCACTTGAAATGCCTTTTTAACCCTGGTTAAAAGTTCTATATTACTTGTAAAGTTGATGAGTTATTGCCCAAGTGACAGTTTTTTGCCTAAGGAACAAATGCCACTCTTGAGTGCTAAACTACCGCATATATGGGAAATCACTGTTCAAATGCCAGCCAAAAATTAAATAGGCTGCTTTGTACTTAGAAAGTTTATTAAATAAGACTGAAGCTCTATGCTATAGTAGCCTGCTGTCAGTCACAATGAAATACTAAAACACTGGAGTTCCTAGGGGTGTAGGAAGCAGTCCTTGATCTAGGTTTCTTATTTTCAAATGAATTTAAATTTTACTGATGATTGAACCACTTGGGGAATAGTGGGACACTTGGTTTCTGTAGATCTGTAGCAAAAGAAGGCTGACTCCTTCTCCTGTGGACTTTAGCCTGTGATTTGTTGGGTGTTTAGCTTTGACAGGCTACAATAATCTTCAATGCAGTGGATTTTGGGTTAAGCATAAGGAAATGTGTGTTTCTGGACATGGCATACTCAGAACCTTTCAAAATGAGTTCCATGGATGAAACCCAAAATGTATAAACCCTGTGGAGAGATTCAGTTTGTCAGGACTTTCATTATCTGTGGTGGAATTGCTTTTGGTTTTTATCCATATGAAAGGTGAATCAAGCCTTGCCACTTTACTTTGGATAAATTTCCTACTGGAAAAAATTAAGTGTGTGAATTCTGTCCTAAATTTTGGAGGTACCAGGAAAATTGTCTGGGTTTTTTGTGAGTAAAGAAGATCTGGAACTATTAAATTTTTGTTTTAAAAACAAAAGAAGGAAAGAAGGAAAGAAAGAAAGAACTGCCATAAATTTAAAAACACATTTTCAACTTTCAGCAGGAAACCAAACACTAATAAAATGCTACTGGTTTTAATGCTTGATGAAATTCGGGATGAGATGATTCTGAAAGCAGGATTATTTTACAAAATAACAAATATTCTGAGTTATTTCAAATCCGTTTGCTAATTTTTCTGGCTTGAATCCTGTTTTCAAGGTGTGCAGTCTATGCAAGTCTCTGAATTGGGTACAGAATGTATTAGCATGCACTGGTTGCGTCACTGTGCAAGGCTGGCTGTGTGCTTGTGGACACTTGTGGTTTTGCTAAATACGAGGCTGTGCCAACATAGTCCCATGGTTACTTGGAAAAACTGGCTTTTAGCATCTGTTCTTGATCAAATTAGTAGCTTACCAATACTTGGCACTTATGTAGGTAGCACTTGGCATACTTGAAGCGCTCTGCAACCTAACCAAAATAGGTCTGTTAAGCCTCCAGTTTGAAACTAAAGTGACTTTCAGTCTGCTTTGGAAAATGTGGACCTGCTGTTTTTGTGTAAACATTTTCCATGTGAACACCCTTCACGGGGGAGAAAAAGTCCTAGGGAAGGTCTTCTCCTTTACAAGCCAGTGTCTGACTGCTGATCTCCAACAATGTTTTGGCCAAGTGTTGATCCTGGGAAGCTTCAGATGTCTTCAGCTTATTGATCTCAGACCAGACACTTGAGGAACAACATTTATGAAAGGTGAAGAAATGAAATTGGTCATTTGTGTGAGCTGCTCTGCAAGTCTGTGGGTAGGGGCTGGTGATTCTGGAGGACAGACTCATACCATACAGGCTAGGACATGTGTGGTTGGTAAAGCTATACTCAGAAACACTGTAGTGATGTGCACAAACCATTATTCACCAGGGACTGCCAGAACCGAAGTGCTTGTGGCTATATTTCTTTGGGAGGCTGGTTTTCTTCAGAGGCAAAGGGGTTCTAGGGATTTAATTCAGCTGAGGGAGTGGCTCTTTCCTGTGTAAATTGAGGTAACACTGGAACAAATGGCCCTTTATTTTTTCAAACATATGTCTCACTTCATGCCAAGATGGTATTTGTTCAGTATGTAAGCAGTCGAGAGTGAATAGTGTCAACATGTTATTGTAAATGTATTCTCTGTTAACTGGAACATATTTTACAAGAGGACTGTGGCAGCAGATGGTGTACTATAGCTGACTTCCTTTCTTGTTCCTTATTTATGTTGAAAATGTTTACTTCTCTTAACAGGCTTGGACATTTTTAACCTGGATAGCTTTAAAAAGGTGAAAATATATTAATAAAAAGTGGAAAATAATTAATATATACATGTAGCAAATAAATATTTTAGTGTCATGTTTGTGTTACATGGTTGCATTAAATTTCTTTTCCTATCAGGCAAAAGTGTAAGTACCCTCCTTACACTGTCATTAGGATACAGTGCTCTTTAGAGGATATGAGAATATTCAGAAACATTTTTTTTGATGTATTGATCTTTCATTAGAATTCAAGAATTTTTCCAAGGTGATTTGGTTGATAAAAACAACCAACCAATAAAAAACCCCCACCCCAGTGTATGCTGTGGTGTTTGGGCTGCATTCCTTCACACTGAACAGTTGCGTTGTGAGAGATCCTTTTATTTTAATGTGCCCAAAATACCTCCCTCTCCCCACCTCTGACCCAAACATCTCGTCATTTTTCAGAAATATGTGTTTTTCATTTTCCAGGGCTTAGTTGAAAGGAAGAATTATCAAGTCTTTTAAACATGAAAAAAGAAAAAAATACTATATGCAAATGTGAAGTGACACAAAAAATACATTTTTTCACGCATCTCATTAGAATCTCCTTAGAGTGTGTGTGCACAGTGTCTCCCATTTTATATACACGCATTTATATTTATACATATGTATAAAGTGCTGGAGCAGTGATTTGAGACCGCTGTTAGTTGTCTGGTGTTGAAAGATTTCAATTGCTTGGGCAGCTTGTGTTTGACTCTAAATCCCTAAGGTGTCACAAAATGTCCAGTGACTGTTGCAGCATATACACATGCTGGCTGTGTATATGGCTGTAGGGGGTGGAAGAATGGGTTGGGCGTGCATAGGGAATATTTGCAATGAGAAAATATCACAGTTTTTCATGATGTAGAGCTTATATTATTTTAATGATGTCATTTTTTTTAGAAACATAAGGAGGAAGCTTTAGTCTCAGAAATGATTTAACAGCAGGGATTAGCTTGAACATCTTAAGCAATTACAAATACTATAATTTCATGTAGCTGCCCTATTTTCTCACATCTGTCCCCATTGCAGAGGCTGGCAAGACCCACTGTCATAGCACTGTTCAGTCAGGTGTATATTGTAGGAAAAATGTACCTGGTTGATGTGACTTTGATCGCAGTTCAAGTGGTTTATTGTTTTGTTATCAACATGTAATTACCTGGCCATTGCTGAACTATACACTTGGGAACAATATCTGCAATATCTGCAGATAAAGCTAGAAGGTATAGTTATGAAACGTTAATGTGTGACTAGAAATTCCTGAACAACCTTGTATAGTTAAGATGGCTGTGTCTGGCAGGGTCACACTGGCCCCTCTGCTGCCTTGCTCTCCTCCTCTCCTGCACGCTACACATCCTTGCATTTTTATGTTTTGTTTGTGTGTCTGCTTAGATGACTTTCCCTCCCTGCAACTACAGTCTTCTGGTAATTCCCCAGTTGCTTTGTGATACAGTTGATTGTTGTCTTCCTCTTTGCCAAGATGAGCTTCAGGCAAAAGCCGGTTTGGAGAGGCTGGGTGAGGGACAAGCCCAAACCCTTTACACCCGTGTGCTGCCTCACCAGCTGGTGCTACCCAGGCTGTTTTTAAGGCCAGCAGGGCAGTGTAGGTACCCCCTCAGCTAGCTTTTTCAAACAGCAGGCAGCTGGTTCTCCTAGGATTGAATAGAAAGGTGTATTAAGTCGAGGATCTGTGGTTTGTGAGCTAAATTTAATAAAATAGGTGGAAGGCCAATTGGTCTGAGCTGGTGGTCTGTTTCCATGGAGGTAATGAGTGTTGATACCTCCCACTGCTCTGACATGAGCATTCACAGATTTACTGTTTTAAGGGGCAAGGAGTGTTTTGTGGGTTCCAACAGGATTTACATGGACAACCCCCCCATCCCCATCCTGAGTTTAGCACTCTTTCATCAAAAAATAAAACATGCACTTTAGGAGGAATGTGAGTCTTCAGATATATTTCATATGTAAATATATCCAGATGTGTTAGCTTTACTTTTGTGACTGGACTCAGCTTACCCAAGGGGTTGAACTAACCGGAGGCAGCTAGGACTGCCAACATATAGGCATATGTATGGCTGTTGTATTACCTACCTACTGTACATACCCTATATATATATATAGTTGGAGTGCCTGGTGCGCTGCTGTCGCTGCCCAGCAGCAGTGAGCTCCGTCAGCTTCGGGGCTGGGACTCTGTGGACCTCCAGGAGGAGCTCTGGATTCAGCGTACAGCATGAAACTCCAGCAGGCTGGAGCCTGCAGCTCAAAAAGCAGGGGTGAAACCCTCCCACCCTTCCTGCTCCCACCACAAATCCCCACTTTTTCAAAGCTAAATGCTCTTTTAAATACTAACCCACCTTCTTGGCTGCTTTTCTGGCCTCCTTCTCTTCCCTTCCCCTGTCTGTGGCTACCTTGGCACCCAGCTTTGTTCCCTGCTCTGGACTGATGCAGGAGCTCAGAAGGAGACCTTCATGCAGAAGTTCACCAGCACCTTTATGCACTCATGCCATGACAAACTGGAGCTAAGATAAAGCTCAAAGCTTTAAATCAGTCAAAAGTACCCATTTTCAAGGAACAGTTGAATACTGGTTCAGCAAATTGTGCCTTGCAGTGACTGGCTGCAGCTGAATGTCATTGCAGCAGGCTGACACTGAACTGTGAACTTTCTCAGTCAAGTCTCAGCCCTTGTGAGGGTTCGGAGCATGTCTGTCCTGTGGTAACGCTTCCTATGGCTGGGTTCACAGCTTCAGAAGTTCACAGCGGAACGTGGCTAGCAGACACCACCTCACACTTTTCAGGTTAAAACCTTCAGCTCCCAATGCTTTGCAAGCTTGTCAGCAAAATGTGTCACTTCAGTTTACTGAGCTAGGGGAAAAAAAATCCTCCTGCGTGAACCAAGAAGTTCTGGAAAAGGTCTGTAACAGCCCTAATCTGAGAACGGATCTTATCTGTGTTGTATCAGGCACTTGTGGGTGAACACAAAGGGGTTTATTTTATAAAGAATTTTATTTATAAAGAAGACAATAGGAGAAAATAATGATGAGGGAAAGTGATAACTAGTTGAGACATTAATTTATGTAGCCTGAGAATCTGTCTAGAGCACATATTGTGTCTGAATAAACTGAAATCTGAGCCAACAGCTGCTTCACCAGAGCAGAACAGAGAAGCCTCTTTGTTGAGAGATCTTGTGCTCTGACCTTTGGACGATCATGAGTCTTGTGCAACTCACGTCATTTGAAAAGTGAAAGATGCTGGTCTTTCCATGGTTTTCTAGATTCAGAACTGAAACATGTCTCAGAGGATGCCAGTAGTGAACTGCAGCATGCTGACAGCAGAAATAGATAAAAGTTATCATTTGCACATGTTCTGTTTCTCAGGTTAACTCACAGCAAGGTTGAGTTTAATTTTTAATTGTTTAATGCTCTTTCATAACACGTTACTTTGCACAATTATTTTGCAACATTCTCAACTTATTTTTTAATTGCCCATTTAGGTAGGGACAACAAAGTCAGATCTGACTGGTGTTCTCCACAGTTATCTCCACAAGAAACTCACTTTTCTGGTCTGCTTTTGTACACCTAAGCAGGAGCAATGCCTCTATAGGCACATCAGCATCTTACTGAATGGCTGATTTTTTTCAAAAGATTAACAGAATGAGACAGTTTTCTCATCTGCTTCTTCCAATGCAAGTTATTATTCCCTTGGCCATATATTGCACATACACACAAAAAATAAACTTCTCAGAGCAAGACTTTCTCTAAATGTACAAAGCGGCTGCCATAATAGGGTAGAGCTCTTTCCCCTTGCCTCTGCTCATCCGTGTAACAGGCATATTTATACTGCAAAATGAGGAGAAAAGGGAGACTCCCATCACATCACAAAAAATCCACCTCATAACCTGGTTATCAGAAATGCTAAGAATGTCTAGGAAAGGGCCACAGGAAATTTGGGAGGAGAGATGCTGTAGGTTTGCCACAACTGCTTCGTAAGCTACCTCCTATCTATCTATCTATCTATCTATTGAACATGCAAAGCAATAATGAGATCTTGAAAGGTCAGTGTGCAACCTTCTCCCAGTAGGCACTTGTCAGATGAGCAGTGCTTGACAAACCCACATTAACTGCCAAACAGCAAGCAGCATTTCATAGTCATTCTCAACATTTCCATAAAACAGCTGTGGTTTTGTCTAGATGAAAAGCATTAATCCACAGGGGGTTCAGAGAGCAGAGGCTTGTTTCTCCACTATATTAATGCAAACCTCCTAGTGTTTTCAGTTTGAACTCATAGAGGAAAGGAACATTATAAAACCTAGCAGCAGCTAGTAATGTATCAGCAAGGATATTTAGACCTACTTGAAACCCAGCTGAGATATCTCAAGACAAAGTTGCTGTATTATACAGGCAACAGTCTCACCAGATCATCGAATCATCCAATTTAAACCTGCTGACAAGCTTATGGGATCAGCAGAAACACTAGGACTGTACCAACTGACTGTGCTATTAGAGTGAATCATGTAATTGCTTTCTTCCTCAGTTTCCTTATTTGCAGAGCAGAAGGAAATACAATACCTACCTCTCAGATACAAAATGGGGACAAATTCTGTATTTGGAGAGCACCTTTGTGATCCTCAAGTCAAAGAAGTACTGAGTATGAATCAGCAAGCCTTTAAGGTCTCCATGAAGAGCTTAAAAGGCGTAAAAAGGGGAAGGTCTCAATGAAGATTGTGTTGAAAACCAGAAAAACATAGGTTGGAGTACTGCTTCTGAAGGTTTGGCAAAGTGTTAAGGTGCAGAACCTGCCAACTTCCCTTAAGACAGATGAGACTCAGCCAGAGCTGGGAGTTGACCCCAGAATCCCATTTATTACACCAGTGCTTTAGTCACATGAGCCCCAGCACCCACTGGCAGAAAGACCCAGACTGAAACCCAGGGTTTCTGCACTGTGGGGGTGGATCTCTTCTCTGATGTCCCTGTCTCCCAAAGCTGAAGGGTTCAGCTCTGACTAGCAGGGACAGCACTTCTGAGGACTGAAATGATTATTCAAGTTCAGCAGTCCCACTTCCTCCTCCTCCAGAGCCATGCTGCCCTGTTTGCAGTTTGTGATCTTTACAAGCAATACCAGAATTCCAGCCTGGGCTGGATGCTCTGATATCTGTTATAAGACAGAAAAGGCACAAGTCACACAAACACGGAGGGACAGGAAGACTGTAAGGATCTGAGTTATACACAAGACAAATGCATCACGGGCTACTTTTCTCCCTTTTGGTTGGAGGTTAAAGGTATAGAAAGAGAAGCTTTGCTAGTTGAGTTAGAACATGACTAGATTTCCTGAATTGCAATTTCAGTGTCAGGCACTGTTCTGTTGCAGAAAGACTTTATGTTAAAAATTTTAATTCTCTGTCACATCAGGCTTTCTGATTTATCCAGCTGAAGAGAATGACATTTGAGGACTCAGTCATTTACAAAGCTCCTTCAGCTGTCCTGTTACTTCTACATGATAGTGAAAAATGCTTGTCTCGGAAACATCCTGCCTGTGCACATCCTGCGCTCTGGGCAGCCCAAGTGTAACTCTGTCCAACCCTTGTTAAACAGGATCCTTCAACACCAGTATCACTTTATTTTCATGATGCTGGTTAAAACTGCAGTTCAGGGCTTTAAAATGTGCCCACTAGAAGAAAAAGGATGCTTCGTATGTGACATGAGGTCATGCTTAGACATGTCTCATGACAGCCTTTTCCTGACTCTGGAACTACCACCAGAGTGGTTCAGAATTCATCAACTCAAGGAGAAATTTCAAGAGCAACATTTTGTACCCCAGCTTAAAGCTCAAGCTATCCAACTGGAGAATGATATGTAACAGCAGGATATATATGGCCAACAGTCACTAGTACTCTGAGATGACAAAAATTTGTATCTATTACAAGATAAGAATACATTATTCTTTTAGAGTTTAATGTAAAGGAATGCATTTTTCCTACCTCTCCACTTCTCCAGATCTGTGCAGTTGCATCAGAAACAAAAGGTAAGTCAAACTTTGGAAGGAGATCAAAAACACTGAACAAAAGCCCTCAGCTCAGTGTTTTTCTTGCAGTGCAAAACCCGAGAAGGACCAAATACAAAAGGTTGCCCTTTGAAACAAGACTGGGATAAAGGTTAGTGCAGCAAGGGGTGGCAAAGAAACACCAGTGCTATGGGAGAACAAACCTTATAAAGAGGTTCCTGAATGGGTTATGATAACATAGAAACTACACCACTCACAACACAGAAACCAACATGTAGTGGAAATGTGATTCTGGTCAGCAAATGAGTGAATGAATTTTCACTTTCAAAGGGGAAAAATGCTCAAGTGTAAACTATGGACAAGAAAATCCCCTTTCTCCTCTGCCTTTTCCATTCTCTCTCATCTTTCCTCTAGGAGGTTAAGATCCTATGCATTAAAAATCTGTTGAAGATAATAAAAATACAGAACAACAACTGCATTGGTCAGTACACTGACTGCTCAACCAGAGTACAAACTGTTTAAAAGAGACATCTTTTGGAGATGGCTGCATTATCAGTTCTCCAGATTCAAATAAACATGGATATGAGCATACAGTTCAGTTACCCTAAAGCACGTCCTGTATTTTATAGGAAAATACCTACTTTTGAATGTTGGACCTGTATAGTAAACTGAATGTTCTGATCTCTGGCACAAAGACTTAACTGAAATATAGAAAGGAATGATGGGAAGAAAGACTCCTAAGACCTGGTGTTCCATAAATGGAGTGTTTCCTACGGGATTCTTCCCTTCTTTGGTTATCTGTAACCTTGGAGTATTTATTTATCTGACATTTCTTGAAAAAACTGATTGCAGCAGCAACTTCAGAGCATAACTCCTCCGAATTCCTCCCCCAGTGTGTAATAGAACCTGCTATAACAGGAAAAAAACCTCTACAAACAAAATCACATAAGATTTCCTATGGAAAGTTCTACTAGAAATGAGGGGGTTTTTTTCTGGCAGGGCAATTGCTGCTGCTCCATAGCAACATTTCAACAAAGGAATAGGAACCACAGAGAGAAAAAAAAAATCAAATTATGTAGTGCTCTAATGATATGCAGAGAGTAAAACCAGTTTGGGACAGACATATCTAGAACAGGAGCTTTCCCTGTCCTTTTTCTCTGCAACTCTAACACCCCAACCCCCTCCCCCAACAGAGATAGTTAATACACAGAGGTGAGCACAACAGCCCACTGGGAAGTGCACAACGTAGGCTGCGCTCTCCTACCACTGTCTGGTGCAGTTTCATTCCCTTCCTCAACCTGGTTCAATGGCACTGTTGTACTCACAGTAACTAATGGTCGTCACGGTGGGAAAAGTATGGAGTGGGAGTTTTATAAGGACTCATTCTTGCTTCAGTACTAGTCAGCATCTTAACTGATTTAGGAGTATACAAATCAAAAGCAGGGAAGGGGTGTGGGCAGATTGCAAGGGCTTTGGAGGATAAAAAAAATCCTTCAGGATTATTAAAAGATGTATTATTAAAGAAAATCAAACCCCCTGGAATATTAACTTGGGTACAATGTATTAAAATCTAAAACTAAGAGGAAAAAAACCCCATTGTAAATCTGTGGCTGAACTATTAAGGCAATCACCTACAACAGAAAAGAACAAGGTTACTAGTTGCAAATCTTGTATTAGTTCACTCTGCTACAATTCCAGTTGGAATGTTCCTCTGCACAACTTACAGAACACAGAATTCTACTGTCAAGTTCTTATAAATGAAATAGTTGAAACTTGGCTTCTTCTGTGCTAAAATTGCAGCAGTGAGTAAAAAGAGAAGGAAATGGGTGGGAAATAGTGCCAGAATAGAAGCAAGCGTACCAGAAAAAAATTCAGTATGGGAGAGACTTGGAATTCACCTTGATCAAGATGTTCAAGGCCACCCTGAACAGGCACCTCAAATTCTCCATGTCCCTTAGGGAGGTAACCATTCATTAAACAGTAACATAGGTGAAGTGATACCACATGGCTACTGAACAAGTTCACATTTTCCAACTCTGTAACTAAAAATCAAGGTCCCCTGAACAAAAATGTCTATTCATGTGATACTGAATATTTTGGGTTAGCAAAATATCTTACAAACCTCGAAGTTTCCATTCCTTTGCTCTCTCATGACTAAACTGTAAATTATATTAATACTTTCTTTAGCATCTAGATTTGCAGATGTACCTGCTGTACTTCAGAAATCCTTAGCATGTATGACCCAAGTAGCTTTTCAAGATTTTAAAAACACTTATGGTTATAAACCTAACACTATTTTAATAGGCAAGGTTCACTCTTTTCAAATATGTGATATCTGACACAAGATTTCACGTATTTTCAATAATGTTTCAAAACTTTATTAAGTTCACTCAACCTCTATGAAGATTCATGTAGAATGTAAAAAAAAGATTAGTTCCTTTTTTATTTTAACCTCCAACAGAAGTATAGTAAATTTCCTGGTGTTTGTTACAGCATTCTCATTCATTTTCATGCAGACAATTTTTGGTACAAAAAGGACTCAGACCAAAAGCCGAGTAACTTTATGAAATCACTGAGGTAAGAAACATCTCTTCCTAACAGTGTTTTATCCTTCTGCTAGACAAGGCATTAAATGTTTTGGTCTTTTCTACAATGGAAAAAAGAAGACAGGTGTTTTGTCCATAGTTTTATTTCACCAGGAAGGTTGATACAGTTCTGCATAAAGGTCATTGTATGCACAGTCTGAAGTACAAAGCTCCCTTTGAAAACTCCAGCACAAAGACACTGCATATTGACAACATTAAACAACGATGTGGGTGGTATAGGGAAAAAAAATTAAAACAAACCAGCATTCTTCCTATTGGAAAAGCAGAATAAAACAAGGCACTTTCAGTAAATAAGTGAACAGAAACAAGCTGTATCAAAGACTCCACAGAACTGACCGAGAGCACTGTAACAAAATTCTGCAGTAATGAACAAGTAAAATACAAAAAGGCACTACATAATCCTCTCCCTGCAACTCCCCTTTCTCAACCAATTAGCCAACTGAACTTGGCACAATGGAGTCTTAATTATAAAGTGCATCTCCTGTCTTAATACATTTTGAAAAATAGGCTATACAACATAGGTACCAACATCCCCATGTGTAAAATATGTTGAAACAAAAATACGTTGCAACTAGATTCAATCTAGTTATGAACTGTGCAGGAAAAAAATATGGCTTCTTTACAAGTCTTTCAATAACCTCCATATAATCTTGAATATTTTTAAACAAACATAAATGCATAAGCAATGTGGTAAGAGGTAGTGTTCTGAGTAAAAGGCAAACTTACCGATTTTATTGTTACATGGCTATATAGCAAAGGTATCCCAGATTTTCAAAGCAGCATTACTGAACAAAAAGTATTACAGCATGCTATTTTGGGATGAAAATACACAGTGTTTTGGGGGTCTCATATTAGTTCCTTCAGCAAAAATGACCAGTTTTAAAATGTCCAACTATAATCCCATTTCGTAAGTACTCCTCTCTCGGTACTGGAAGTTTTCCTATTGCATTGCATTAAAATTTCCAGGGAAACATTCTTCAACTTCAGAATTTAAAACCAACACATTCTCCATTCTTACACAGAGATGAGTCCGTTTTTACTTCAACAAGCATTAATTTATGGCTATAAGAATATGAAAACACAAATACCAAACACATGAACACATCAAACGTGTCACAACAGTGGCAACGTATGACATGGGAGTTAGATGTGTTCAGTGATTTAGTGTGGAACTTGTCATTCCGCTAGGAAAGTGAGCCAAATTGTGTATGTACACTACCTAAACTTCACCTGATTTTAGCCCTTATTAGACTTCGATTTATTAAATATATAAAGGCTAGATAAAAACTGAAATCAAAGCAGCACTGGGTATATTTCTTACATTAATAATTTGTAAGGATTTATGTAAACATTCAATTGTGCATTCTTGCTCTTTGCTGTAAATTCTTCACAGCTACTCTAAGCTGCTACCCACAGATACATCCCAAACATGAACCTGTAACAGCAGCTGCTGCTCATCTATTCTTCATCTGGAGTATATGCTACTTCAGCAACCTCAATTTCTGGGACAGGATTTCCAGCCAAAGAGCCACTCCAGCATGGCTCATGGTTCTCTTTGTCTGAGCTGCAATGACAGATCAATAAGCTTTGTCAAATGGGAACTAGTATGATTCTCCATAGTCATTTTATGGAGACAATCCACAAAACATTTACAACGCTTTTTCAATTTATCATATTCCAGATCTAAAATTATCTATCCTAAGGGTTTTTATGCAGCAGAGGTGTGCAATAAAATGCTGAATTCCTCAGCTGTGCAGAATTTATGCAAGACCAAACATTTTAAAAAATGTACTTTAAGAATAACTAAAATATAAGTAAAATAATAGTATTTACCAGCTGTCCTCACCCAGGGTACCCTGGTCTGCTTCTACTGCAGAAGACTCCACCTCACCACTGCACTCACTTTCTTCTCCTGACATTTGACGAGTCATTTTTCCTAAAGATAAATCCCTACAACAGATAAGAACAGAGTACCACCAATCCATAGAGCAAACATTCATCACTGAAGAACTGTTTGTTTCATTTTAACCTTTGCAGTTTCTGGGAACCTCTCAATCTCACTCCTACATGATCCATTTCTTTTATTAGTTCAAATAGGTAGGGTCTGCACTGGGTAGCTATTTAAGCAGTTTATTTGCTCCTGCTGCTTATTCCTGAACTAAACTCAGTCCTCTGAATCTCTGGGCTACCAAGACAATTAGAGGGACGGAGCACCTCTCCTACGAGAAAAGGTTGAGAGAATTGGAATTGTTCAACCTAGAAAAGGCTTCAGGGTGACCTAATTGTAGCCTTTCAGTATCTGAAGGGAGCCTACAAGATGAAGAGAGACTATTTACAAAAGCATGTAGTGACAGTAAAAGGGGGAATGGTTTAAACTGAAAGAGAGTAGGTTTAGATTAGATATTAGGAAGAAATTCTTTACTGTGAGGGTGGTGAGGCACTGGAACAGGTTGCCCACATAAGTGGTGGATGCCCATTCCTGGAAATGTTCAAGGCCAGGTTGGATGGGGCTCTAAGCAACCTGGTCTAGTGAAAGGTGTCCCTGCCAATGGCTAGGGGGTTGGAACAAGATGATCTTTAAGGTCCTTTCCAACCCAGGCCATTCTGTGGTTCTCTGGTTACATCACAGTTTCATAGCTTTACAAAATTCAAGTTGTAGAGGAGTGTGCATGACTTTAGGTAAAAAATTACAAGCAGAAGATCTAAGCCACACACATCTTGCCTAAACGTCAGAAGGGGATTATAACCAAAATGTAGTCAGAAGGAAGACAGGCAGGATGATAAAAAGATTTCTTCAATAGTTTTCCAAGTTTCTCACTGTAACTTTACAAAGTCAGATATTACGTTTCAGAACAATACGTTTTCCCATTAATGATAAAAAGACAGGTAATAATTTTTTCTTAACGGCAACACAAGATAACAGTCCGACCAGCCTGCATATAAATGGGAATAAAGTCATGTAAATTGACCAAGGAAATCCTTTCTTCCAAAGCACTGCTCTGTGTGGAAAACATATACCAATTTAGAACTGAAAGCTGTGACTTGAATTGGAAATAAAAGCTTGTGACCCATTTTGTGTTGAAAGTGATACTACTATATGTCATCCCCTTTTTAAATTACTCTACCTACTGTTTCTATTGTTTTATTTTAATGCATGCATTTTAAGTAATACCTCAGCAGTATTCTTTAACATTATTATTGGCCAAAGCCAGCAATATATAAAGGCCTACAAGTCTCATGTCTTGTCAGCTGTCTTCCCCTTCTACCTCACGCGCATTTTAGGTACTTGGCCCTTAGAGTGTGTAGGCATAAGATGCTTTATTCTTGCTGGGCCAGATAGAAATTCCACTTCAACAAGGCCAAAGACAGACACATTTCACAGAATCACAGAATATTCTGAGTTGGAAGGGACCTTCACGGATCACTGAGTCTAAGTCTTAAATTAATGGCCCATATAGAGATTGAGACCACAACCTTGGCATTATTAGCACCATGGTCTGACCAACTGGACTGATCTCAGAGTCTTATTTCTTTTGGGTTCATTTCTCCATCAGACAGACAAGCTGAAGTTCTTTAACAAGATTGTGAGTTTTCTTGGTAATTTTTACAACTATAGATCACAGAAGTTATTTTCCATCAAGACTTCAGACACTACTTGGCTGATTTTCAATAATTTTATACATCTGGGAAATTGGCAGGGTGTTTGTGTATTTAAAAAACATTATCTATCTATCTATCTTCAGGGAAAGCACTAAAAAATAAAATCCCTTTTTGCTATTCATGCCTTCTTATCTTTAGCCATACAGAATTTCTTATCATTACATTTTAGCAAAATGCAAGTTATTTAATTTTTATTGACTATTTCTCTATTTAAGCCAGCAGCACACCATATCTCTCTCATCAAACAGGAAAAGCATCTTTCAAATGTAATTACTTGCCTTCAGGAATAAGTGACAAACTGAATATGGTATTCTGATCAAAATTTTCAGTAAGCCACAACAATTCCACTTAAATCTTTTCCCGTTATAGTTCACTTGAAACGTACAAGGTGTGGTTTGTCAGTCAATCTGGATATGCCAGACTCAACAACCCAGGCAGTAAGTAAAATAAAATTTATTTTGAAAATAATTTTTTTTTTTAGTTCTGTCAGTGTCTCTGGTCATACACACGCACCCAGGGGATGTTTTTTCACCCGATCTCATTATCAGGAAGAAATTCTCTACTATTAGGAAGAAATTATTTCCTGTGAGGGTAGTAAGGCACTAACTGGAAAAGGCTGCCCAGACCAGCTGTGGATGCTCCATCCCTGAAAGTGTTCAAGGCCAGGTTGGATGGGGCTCTCAGCAACTTGGTCTAGTGGGTGGCATCTGTGCCCACGGCAAAGGGGTTGGAAGTAGATGATCTTTAGGGTACCTTCCAACCCAAATCATTCTGTGATTCTACAAAATTCTAGTGGGACCATGGGAATTTACTCTTTTGCTAAGAAAATGCTGCAATGACTGACTCAGCAGCTCTAATGGGACACTGAATAGCATATCAATTCCCCTGCCACTGCTACAAAATTTAGCAGACGGGCACCATAAGACTCCACCATTTTTTCCTTGGGTTTAAATGGACAATCTCCAGTGTTATTTAAGTATCTTCAGCATCATTTCTGGCAATTCAGGACAAAGTTAAAGACATTATTAGACATATAATTGCCTGATCACTATGTTCTGTCAAAGCTTTGAGTACAGGTAGATTTTTATAACTCAAAGCAATTTTCCCCCTCCTCTCATCTCTAGCAGGGCATCTCATGTTTCCAACATTTCAAAAGCAAACTTAAAGGATTAGGAAACAATCAAAGTTACTTTAGAGGGAAAAGATGGGACAAGTTTCTCAGTCATTTGTACTAAATAACTTTTAGCCAGCATATGAGAAAGAGCTTACTGAAAATATTGCTTTGTGTGGTTATGTATGGAAAATGTTTTCCAAGACTGTATCTAAAGCTGGTACTTGTGACTTTTATGGAGATAAACTCCTAAACCCCATAAAATTTCTACATACCTAATTCTTCTTTCAACAGCATCTATATGAAGTTGCTTTTCACTCAGCAACTTCTTCAGCGATTCAACTTCCCTTTGTTTTTCAAGCAGTTCTTTTTGTAGGCGGTAATTTGTTTCCTCTAGAGTTTCACAGAAAGCCTAAAAGACAAATTTAAGAGCATCTTCAATTTTACTTCAGTGTACTGCCTTTATTGATTTTTCTTTTAGAAATATCAATCTGTAATAGAATTATAGCTGCTTTTCTTCAGGTTGATTACATAAAAAGCTATGTAAATTTTAAAAAAAGTTCTGTCCTTAATAAAATAATGCTGCTTTGTTTTGAATAGTGAATTTATTATACTAAGCTCCAATGCAAATAGTTTATCACATCATTTGTTTGTCTCAGAAAACTCTAAAGAGAAACTTTAGAAAAGCAGTGCCTGATTTTGAACCATCTTGCCTATACAGAACATAAGCTGAACTCCCTGCTCCCTTTTCTCTTCACAAAGCTTTGCTTCCACATGACTTGGAAATCGATTTAAAAGTATCTAATTATTCCCACAATGCAAAGAATATTCGGATTGAGATAAAGACAAAACCGTACAATTCTGTACCAAACACCTGTTACAACTATGGAACCATGACAGAAGACCAATACAAAAACATTTTGAAGAAGTTTAATGGCATGCTATGAACACCAACTACTCAGCCATGACAAATATGCCATGCTCCTCTGCTGAGTATGACATGTATTTATAGTACACTCTGATGGATTTGACAATGAGCAATCTCAAAACTTAATGTGATGAGCCAGTGTCTCATGCAACATCCAATGAATGCAGGAAGTGACAGAAGCCTTGGCACAGAGCCTGCTCATCTATTACTGGAAAGCACAAGTCCCGCAGCAGTACCATGCAATTCTGATTTAATAATTTACATGTTCTCAATAAGTAAGAATCCCATGTGGGCTTTCTTGGGTTAACATCACCAGCAACTAACCACTAATTCAGAGTCCGACGACTGTAAATGTTTTATACGAGCTCAGTTAAGAACAATGCTGTTAAGACACTGTTTTTCTTAAGTTTTAAAACAGGCTACAAACATCAAGAAGATACTATCCTTGGCTTTAACTGAAGCAGATTCATCATCCTTAAAATGTTAAGTTTTCCTATAATTATACGATTCAAATAAATGCAGAGTTTTTCAATGCAATAACCATATTTCTTTTCATTGAATTTTAATTTATTTTATTGACTCAGATAGGAAATTTATCTTTTTTGACAGACACTGAAGACCAGTCATCAGTTAAATCATAGTTTTATTCATGTCTACTAGAGCCAAGAACATGTGGCATGCAATTCACTCTTCACACAGCATTTGTAGTGATTGCTTTAGCTATCACTCCAGTTAAGCAGTCATCCTGTTTCATCCAAGCCAATCAAGTAAATTTGACTGTATTTTATAAAAATATTTGGTGTTGCTGGCCCCTAGCTCAAAACTGGCCATTATTTAAGAATATAATGAAGTTATATTATTTCTACCTTTATATTTATGTGCATGGAAATTTCCCTATTCCCAAAATAGCTAAAAATATTGCGTAAGTGTTGTAGACTGTTTCATTGCTCTGCATGAGAACTGACAAAGCCTTTTGGAAAAACTCATCTCTACTGTAGTCTGGATATCAGCTGCCCGAGGAAAGGAAGTCACTGTTCTCAATCAGTAAGAAAACATCAACATATTCTGAAGGAGGCTGTAATAGCAGAAAGGTGAACCAAAGCTGAGAAAGAGAATGGTGTGTAATGAGATATCTTGCTTTTTTAATAGCTGGAAACCTGGAGTCTGGGATAGTTCTAACACCCAGGTTGGACCAATTTTCCCTATAGCTCTGAAAGGGCAACAGAACTAAGCCAGCTGGAAGACAGCTTTGCTTCCTTCTTCAGTGGATCATGAAACACAGATGGCTGGGAAAGGATCTGTGCAAACAGCTACCAAGGACATGACAAAAAAGACTGCTTTAGTGAATATTTTGTCTACTTTTCTCTGATTAAATTTCTGTAAGGACTAGTTAGCTTGTAATGTAAGATGTACCTGTATCCCTCCCCCTAAAAAGATAAATATGTTTTGGCAAGTCCGTATGGAACCGGAATAGTAGAACAGACAAAAACCAAATAGAAGACATCCATATTTCCATTATCAGGAAAACAGGAACAGAAGATTTTTTTTTTCCTGGTAATGCTTTGTATAAAAATAGTAAGACAAAACAGACATAATTTTTCAGCTACCTTTAAAAATGAACTCCAGGAATACATATGTGAACCTTAGTGCTTTTCCTGTAGTTAGGCAGTTTAGGAAAAGCAAAGCAACAACCTGCAAGGGATGGATATAAGATACTTTTGGTATTTGGTAGGAGTTCAGGCTCCTAACAGCCACAAGCCAAAAAGCATGACCATGACCATGGATTTTAGGTTGAACAGACTTCAATCTCTTCAGGAACCTGCTTGGAAGAAAGCATCCATGGGAAACTACCTTGGAGAGAAGAACAGTCCAGGAGAGCTGGTTGATATTTAAGGATCACCACCTTCTGGGTCAGCAGGTAGAGCTCAACAAGTATGAAATCAAGCAAAGGTTGCAGGAGGCCTGTATGGATGAGCAAGTAACTCCTAACTGAACTGACAGATAAAAAGCAAGTGTACTAGGGGTGGAAGCATGGAGAGGTGACCCAGGAAGAATATAAGGTTGCTGTCTGATCTTACAGGAACAGGGTTAAGAAAGTGAAGGACAACCTGGAGCTGAATCTAGCAAAGAAAACAAGAAAGGACTCAACAAGTACATAATCAACAAAAGGAAGACTAGGGAAACCATGGACTGTTGTCTTGACTGGCAAAGATCAGCCTTCAGTAATTCCAGACCTCTGCAGCCAGAGGAAAAGACAAGGAAGGGCATGACAAATTTACCCTCAGTGGAGAAGGGACCAGGTCAGGGTCCACTTAAACAGCTTGTACATGCATGTAAGTCCATGGGGCCTGATAGATGCACCTGTGGGTGCTAAGGGAGCTGGCCTGTTGTCCACCAGAACCCCAGGTCACATGATTCAAATATCATAATAAAAGATAATGGACTTGAGCATCTTTCATGTGATAAAAGGAAGAGAAAGCTGAGAGACTTTAGTCTGGAGAAGAGAAAGCTTGGAGTGATCTTATCGATGGGTATAAATACCTGATGAGAGGGACTGAAGAAGAGGGAGACAGATACTTTTCACTGGTGTCCACTGACAGGACAAGAGACAATGAGCACAAATTAAACCCCAGAAAATTCAATCTGAACACCTAAAACCACTTTTTTACTGTGATGGTGATCCAAAACTGGAACAGGTTACACAGAGAGGTTGTGAAGTCTCCTCTGCAGAATACTGAAAACCTGACTGGACATGGTCCTGGGCAACCTGCAGTAGCTGACCTTACTTGAGCAGGAGGGTTGGACTAGACAATCTCAAGAAGTCTCTTTCAACCTCAATCACTCTGTAATAAGGTGGAGTGTCCCTTGGAGAGCAGAATTTTAAGAGTTGTCTCTAACAACTTAACAGAATACAGCTATTTTAATGGTTTGATTAAATTTCTGTGGTGGGAGAATAACACTGAGACTTCACCACAGCAGGCATTATCGAAATTTCAATGAAGGCGGCACTTAGATTTTTTAATTATGTGAACAAATAATTACGGTAATTTTAAAGAATTTTCATCAGCTTAAATAGCAACAATGAAAAGTGATTATATGGAAATCAAATATGAGCTTGTAAAAAAACCCATGCACACAGTAATCTAGCAAGAACCAAGGCACTCCTACTTACATGCAAAACAAACTGGTAAATATAAATTTAGTTGAAGGAGCATCAGTTAACATTCACAATTTCTACAAGACTAACAATGAATGTACAGTTCTAAAACACAGTTATTCTATAAAGCAAGAAAACTAACATCATCTGTTCTAGGAAGACTTGATACAGCTCTGCATCCCAATGAAATTTACTTCTAATAAAATAGATTGCAGCACACAGTATTATTTGTTCAGCGTGTTCATATGTGCATGTTGCAAGGCTGCTGTTTTACTACACTACTTGTAGTGTAGTAACATGTCACTAATTAATTTTCTGCAAGAACACTATTTTTAGTGGTCAGAATTAATCTTTTCATTACATTTATTACATGGGAAGGTATCCCTTCCCACGACAGGTGTGTTGGAACTAGATGATCTTTAATTCCTTCCAACCCAAACTATTCTATGATTTTATAGCAAGAAACATTTCACTGCAAGACCTGAAGTCCAAGGCATAAGCATTATAATAATGTGCTGAATGTAAACTTATAAAATCTCTCCTTATATTCAGTAGTTCCCTTATATAAGCAGTTGCAGTTGCCGTAAAAAACAAACGCCATCCATGGCTCATAAAAGACAAAAAGGAAGATGATATATTTTGGGACAGGGATGAAGTACAGCAAAGATGATCAGCGTGCACCAATAATCAGACTGGACCCGTTTTATAAAGACAACCTTTTGTGATTTTTGTGAAAGAACAGAAACAGAAGTGTTTCACTCCATACCATGCAACAGATCTTACAATATTCTAACAACAACTGCCTTTTGCATTCTGATTTTATCCTATTACTTAGCACTTACCCTGCTCTCTTCTAGACTGTCAAAAGGACCCGGAGGATCATCCAGACAAAGAAATTCTCTCACTGCAAGGCTTTACCAAATAAAAGAGAGTGAATTACTGAAGTACAAAACCAGCAACAACAAATATGATCATACAATGGAAGTATTTCTTTAAGGGACACAAACACCTAGCCTCAAATTTTACCCCCAAGTATGCAAAATAATGTTAACAAAGTATTAAGCCTCAGTTGTATGTGTTCACCAGGAAGAGTATTTAAAATGTAACTTATGAAGATGAGTAAGCAACTTTAGAACATGATTTTTCATGTTCTTTTTTTTAAAATTTTTTATACAATTTGTCGCTACATGACAACTAACAAGTTTATCAGTTTGGTATTGAAGATGTATAAAAAATTCCCCTGGTGAAAAATAAATATTATAAGATGGATGAAAAAGTTTGCTGTTAATATCCATATGCAGATCCCTTCAGGTAGTATCAGGGGAACTAAACATCAGTACTGAATCATGTCCACCTGTATCCATTTTGCTAAGATCATAATCCATTGACATATACATAGTATATAACTTTTATACATACAGTACATATTTTTATACATACAGTAAATAATTTTTATATAAAGAATAAGTTATAAAATAATAAGAGACAAAGTTAACGTGCCATGGATATGCTACACAGCCATCTCTAAACATACATTTTAAACTAATGCATTCCACTTAGAATTGTGTAACAGCTGTCATCCCCCTCTGTGAATCGCTTTGCAAAAGTCAGAAGAAGGAAGTATGTGCAATCCTGTGGTTTACTACAGAGTATTTCAAGCATCTTGCTCATTCTACCTTCCAAGTTTAGATTACTTCTCAGAGAACTCAAACATCTCCAAACATGTCCCTTCAAGTTACCTTTTTTAAGATTTTCCTGCTTGGTTATATTCATTCTTCTACAAATAACCTCCAATCAGAACACTGTATTCACAATTAATTAGCAAGCAGTAACATGAGCAATGCTGTGCTTGCACTCACTACTTTAAATCATCTCCTACTGCAATGAATACAAAAAAATGGAAGATGTGAATCTAAATTGAATTTCCTGTCTCCTCCTCCCACCTCCTGAGTGGAAGGCAGAAAAGGCAGTAATTTTCTGCCTTCCACTCATTCTCTGCATTTGAAGTAGACATGAAGTACAAACACAAGAAAGGAAACTTTCACCCAGCTACCAACCTAATCAAACAGCTTCAGGTGTGGCAAGCAAAATGAGGAGAAATTTCTTCAAACACTGATCATTGATTATAGCATCACTTTTAGTTCTAAAAAGGCTCTTAAGAATATTTATCTAAACTACACTTAATGCTTATTTTGTTGTTCGATTTTTCTAAGTCTGCTTTCACACGCTTATTGCATATGTGTAGACACAGGTGGCCAAAGGTTGGCGAGAAATCTTGTCTTTGTATCTACTTTTACCTCATCAGCCTTTATACCAAACTGAAATTTTTTTTTCTATAATCATTCCTCTCCCTACTTAACTTATGTGACAAATGTTTTACAACTATCCGTCCATGATCTGTGCAAGCCATAAGCCTAAATCTGTACTATTAAAAGAGCTTCTCTCATGTACTCAAATAAATAATGAAAAATTCTGCCACCTAAACCAAGATTATCACTCCAATTAGCACAAGAACAGATAGCTGGCAACAATTCCTCAGGGAAATGATCAGGAAACATAACTTGAAATGAAATGAAAGTTATTCAGGCATATAAAGTACATTTCAAGGTGAAGAGCAGGGTTGTTTTTTTTTCCCTCCTCTCCAAATAGTTTAATATGTTTGAGATGACCCTTTTCTGACATGATGCTCAAGTCCATTTTTTTTAATGAAAAGAACAATTCAACCATTAAGATGCTGAAGTAACTCATATTTGGCCAGTACATTATGTGGAAAAACTTCTGCTCACCATTTTTCTTCAGCATCTTAATCCTTATTCACATATGCAGCTCAAACATGTTTTAAATGTATTCAGTTATTTTCTTGTGTTATTAAAGGGTAACATTAACATGGCATAACACACAGTAATGCTTGTGAGTGAAAATCAAAATATCCAGAAAAATAAATGTAAAAAATATCTAATCCACATATATCATCTACTTACATCAGGTCAAACTTTTTTGCTTTCCCTGTGGCTGCTGGCAGAAAACCGTGTCTTCTTCTACGGTTTTCAAAACTACTTGAAATTGAAAGCTGTAGATTCATTATTTTACATAAGGAGGTCAAGAAACCTAAAGCCACAGGTCAACAAAAACATTGTTTCTTTACCTAAAATATGCACCTGCATAAACATCTGCAGCCTAGCTTTACTCAGTATGCTCTGATCCTGCTTCCCCCTCCATGTGTTACACCTTTTGCTTTCATTTAACAAACAGAAGATCCTGCCTTAAAAGTATCACAGAAATCTTTTGTATCATATGTGGCAGAGTTTCCTGTACATGGCTTCTTTCTTCACTTGTGTGCTGGCCGACATCCCTCTCCAGGGAGGCAGCAATGCCAGCATTAGGGGCAGTCTGGCACATTGGATCCCTGACTCAAAGCTGACCAAGCCTCTTACACAGGGCGGAGGCAGGAGAGCTGTACCATCTCTATAAAGCCAGATGACATTTCTGTTTAGCAGAAATGTCTTCTTTCTCCCACTTCATGAGTTATATGAAACATTCCTGAACAGATTAAACTCTAGGAGAATTTCAGTTTGATCTTTCACTGAAACTTCAATACAATGCAAAATACAAGAAGAAATCCATGAAATAGGTGCTAAATTTAGTCCCCTTCACACCATCCTACATCTTATCTTTAAATTACTTTGTGAATCGAGTTTTATTAAAAAATAGGTATAACCAAATGAAGTCTCCTATCCCTGAAGGGCAAAATTCCCACTGTCAATGTCTCAATGATGATAAAGTACATAAAGCACAAAGAGAAATAAAGAGACTTCTCTACAAAGAGAAAAGGCTCATTTGGTTTTGGTGTGACCCAAGCACTTTGACTTATTTGTAAAACTGTAGAAGTAAATGGTGAACTTGTAATGGGAAAGCATGGTCAGATGCTCATCATTGCTCATGTGATATGCAAATATTAATTTCCATTAATAGTAACTTTTATTCTGTGATAAGTGGATAAAAATATTAAGGTGGATCGAACCTCACTAGGAATTCAGACCTTCCTCTGGTTATATTAGAATATAACCTGTATCAAGAGGTTATAAAGTTTCTTAAAAAACTTCATCTTTATGCAGAGTGTTACACAGCCAAGATCAGAATTCCAAAAATCACATTTCAGGTAACTATCTGTTCATTAGCCAAAATACAAAGTGATTCCAGAAACATTTTATTTCCCTTTTGTATCAGAGGAGCAATGCAGTCTAAAAGCTATGGTTTCAGTTTTTGCCTTAAATCATGACAGAGTATTTTGTCCAAAATGTTCCATTATTAAGATATATGCAAGCTAGTTGAAATACCAAACTAGCTGCAACAACATGAAGCACAAAGCCTACAGATTATTTTAAATAGACTAAAAGTCCATTCCGCCCACCAGTCTGTCTCCAGTAGCATAACACAAGTGACATTTAGGGAATATTAGAGAATAATTCCTTTTTTTTTTGGCACACCTATCATTGTGTAATTTAACAATAAGGAAGTTCTTAAACTTCTTGGCTGCATACCTCACCCACATAATTACATTTAATAGCCACTGACACAGAAACTCACAGGTTGATCTCAATTTCTTTTTGAAACCATTTAAGCTTTGTCTTTGACATCTCATAACAAAGCTTCACCACTCAGTGTGACATACTGCAAGATGACTATGAATCATCCAAATATTAACATTCTTTACTCACCTTCCCTATCCCCTTTGATGATTTCATATGCTTTGTTTAGCCAGCTCTTACCCAAGACAACAGATTAAAGAGAAAAGAACTCTTCTTGCAGGGAATTTTTCTGTAGCTTCACCTGTTGTTGCTTGCTTTCTCTGTACCTCTGGCAGACACTTCTTTGGAAACTGAATGCTGTGTTTAACCATTGGACTACGTGGAAGTACAATTCAGATTCCCATAGCAATACCTTTTTTCCCCTTCTAAGTTCCTCTAACAATTTTAATGAAACTTTTTGACTATTGCTGAATACTGAACTGATTCAGAAAACCAGTGATATCAGTACCAATAGTTATTTTCCAGGTTGTAAAAAACAGGGTTTACAAATCTGCATGGATGTACTTGCTGTCATTTTGTACTTCAAGACAAAAAGACTAGTATTAGTCACTCAGTGCCTCATGATCCTGCTACAATAGTTCATGATCTCAGAGAATTTCAATACGTTCCTGAACATCGGTGTCCATAACTGACCTAGCTTTCCACATGTAATACTCCTAAATTTCCATCAATCCTTTTCCCCTTGTCTTTTAACCATTCTATACGAGCCTTGTCATAAGTACTTGCTTGTTAGATGTCCCTCTACAAAAGACATTATTGTTTTTTCAAGTATTATTTTTATTCACCTCCGAACCACTTTGGGTTTTTTTTTATTAAAATAAGTACCAAAAGTCAGACTTATATATGAATCTCTAGTTTCCAGACACAGCAGTCAAACACCTTATAAAAATGTGCCAAAAGCAGTAACAGCCCTTCTACTAAAAAGTAAAGTAGATATAAGCATTATATGGTCTCACACCCCAGCTTGGCAATTTTACATTTTAGTTCCTCTAAAATTCTTGAGGTAATGCTGTTTGCTTTAGCAAATTCCTTATTCTTTGTTTTGAATGAAGTTTCAGATGATGATACATCCTCAGACTAATTCGTCAAAGAACCTCTGGTATGGTAACCTCAACTTTTTTATTTCTGCTGCTGGAAAAAGTTTTTAAAACTAACTGCTCTGCCTCTAGCAATCTGCTTACTCAAATTTCATTCTGTTCTTTATTAAAATAATTTTACACTTCATTTGCCAGAATTATGCTCTATTCATCTTCCAGCTCTGGAAGAATTTCCCACTTTGTATGAAAGAAGATACTATTCAAAGAGACTTATGCACTTTGTTGATTAAACGCATTATGTTTTTTAAACTGTTAGGAAATTTTTTATTTGTCTTTTCAATTTACTTCCATATAGCAATCTACAGACGTACTCCTATTACCATCGCGTATCACGTAAGTTAAAAACCTGTAGTTTAATACACATTTTAAAAACTGATTCCAAACAGTGTAGGTACTTTCCACTACGAAAGCATAACTTTTAATCCCAGTATAAATTAACAATATATCAATTCTGCATTAAGCACAGAGAAGTAATGTTTTGGGAGTAATATGGGATTAGTCTAACTTTTTAAATATTACAACTTTTATTAGTTATCCATGTACAATTCAAAATACTGCAATTCTTCTCTTTTGTTTATGTTAAGATAGGATTAATTTGAAAGGACGCTAAATAATTCACATAATGATGAAATGCACAAAATGAATGCTAATAAATCCTTTACCACATTGCTCAAAGACACACTGCTAGAGTCTAAGAGTTGATAAGAGCAGTTTGAGAAAAAAACCCAAACAAACACAAATGCAAAAGCAAAGTTTAATCACATACCAGTTAGCAATATCTTTATGAGCTACTAGGTTCTGGAGAAATGCTTGCAGTCCCAACTGTCGATCTTCCAAGAAGTCAGGATTATAATTATCCTTGAACCAGCGCTTTGGTGGAAGGGCCAACCGAAAGCCCGGAAACATATCTTTTAGCTGAAATTGAAATGAAACCCAATTAAAAAAAAAAAAAAATCAAGAAAAAAGTCTCATCAAAATACTCATTTTGACACAGGCACTGACTTCACTCAGAATTACGAGATCTTTCTGACTTCTGCTAAGTTCAAGCACAAGGTAAGTCTCAACCATAAGTACAATTTAAATTACAGCATAAATTGCAGACATAGTTCTGTCACTTGCTGTGCTGCCTTATGCAATCCAATGACCTCTCAAATTTACCAGATAAAAATGGGAATGAAAACCTTTGCTTTGTTATTTAATGTCCAGTATCAGATGAGTAAGCATTTCAGTGGTGTTTCTTCTAAAGTACTCAGGGACAATAAGTACTATCTATCTATAAAAATCCATTACAGATCTACAACTCTGCAACTTGTCTTTTTTGGGGGGCTAGCAGACTAAATTACAACACATGCCTGATGATACTTCTAGTGAAGAGTAGCTCTTTGTACAACCAGAATATTAAAATTTCAATATGCATGTATAGCTCAAACCCTAGTAGTAACATGTAAAATTGTACTGACTTACTTAAGTAGCAATGGGGTATAGTTGACATTAGAAATATCTAGATTTTTTTTTTAATTCAGAAATGAAATATGCAAGTGAATGGAAGCATAAAACTATATAACAATGAACCTATCAAAAAATGCCAATTATTTTTCTAATATGCTTAACTATCAACACTTGCATAAAAACCAGTTTTTTGAAGCCTTTTCTTAGCAGGGATGCTTGACACAGAAAAATCTTGGAAGAAGATTTACAAGCAGCAGGAAAAAGCAAACTAATTTTACAAAATCTGATATCCCAACTGCCACAAGAATTGTTTAATCTTTTTTTCTGAATACAGGATCAAGCCAACTTTTGTCAGAGATGTACTGCATACACCTAATATATTTACATGAACATTGCAGTGCCAGGGATTTTAGAATCTGACTTGAAAACAGTTTAGCACTCAGTGTTTACAAAGCTGCAGTGTAATTCTTCAGTGAGTGTCCTGATCCTTGCTCAGCAAAATTTAACCCTTGACAACAAGTGTTATCTATTTAACTACTCTTTATGGACTCACAGAAAATGCTAACGCGTAGCTCTTTCAGCAGATTAAATTTTTACAGATACTGCATTTCAGATAGAATCTCTCTATACAGTTTCAAGGAAGAACCACGTTAATGGATCACCTTTACTCATATAAGTACCATTTCACAGCATGAGAAGGGTGCCATTTAAACATCACAAGTATCGTATATTGAAATATCCCACCATAAATACCAGTTTCTTATTTACAGAATAGTTTATCGTCAAAGCCTTGCTCTTTTTTTCTGCATTTAATTATTTAAGTGTATGTTTTCCTCTTTCTGAATTTCATCTTGATATTAGACTCCTCTTGATATTTTTATCTTTGGTCATCCACCGTTCCTTCATCTATTACCAAGTAATCATAAATACCACGTATATAAGTATCCTCTATGCTCCATAACAGCTCTTAAGTTGATAAAATACTGAATAGGACTGAACCCAGAGATTATAACAAAATGAGTTCCTGTGTTAGTTGTACAGAAGAACGCAGATAACCATTGCTGAGAAAGCTTTTCAACCACACAGATTTCTGCATAATGGTTAGTTTCACTTGTCTGGTCACACAGATCATGTAATTTATTTCTAAGGAAAGAGTATGCCTACCCACAGACTACTACTTTTGTGGATGAAGAGTATGAGAAAGCCAGCTGCTGTCAGCAGACTAATTTTCAACAGCACACTCCTGGGGCATTCTTTCTTGAACACTCCTCAGACCCAGCAGGAGGGTCAGACAAGTTATTCTGGTCACGATTGCTTCCTTGTATCCAGCACCTTTTCTACATGTCTCACTCCTACATCATCATGTGATACATTATGCACCTCACATGAGGCAATCTTGGGGAAAAATGGTTAACTTTTTGGTTCTTAAGACTGGTCATTTCATTATCTCTTCAACATCTCTACCAGCATAGTAACAAACTTTAGAAAGTTCTTTTCCCACAGTTCTTTGGGGTCAAAGTACTTCTCATACTTCTCCAGCCCAGCAGGTGGTATAAACAAAACCTAAGCATCTAGCCAAATGCCTGCATTTTAGTCTTTGTTCCTAACCTCTCCTTCCAGCATGTTCCAACACCCACTAACATTGAATTTTTGTTAATATTATAGCAAAAGACACTATTCCAGTCTTTGCTGTAACATTCACTGTTTGCTTTCCATAGTTTGCTCTCAAGTAATGGATCTCTTATTTTACTGCCTCTTTCCCTTACTTCTGTCTCTGATGATTTATAATACTTTTTCCATAATAAAAACTTGTGTTTTTCAGGCAAGAATTTTTTGCTTTCAAGTGTTCTAAAATCATTGAGTTGCAGACCGAGAATTCCTATTTATCTCCATCTTTAAAGTTCTGATACAGTATTTTGCAATTAGCTTTGACGACATTGAAAGCAACTGAAGACTGACCAACATACAAAGAACTTCATGAAACTTCAGGTTTATCATGAAAAAAGCAGAGTTTGTTACACAGAAATGGACTGAATAATTACTGGATCGTTCCTGCAAGAGAATACAAGTCTCTAGTTCTATTTCCATGCGGGGGATAAATATTGAAGAGTTAATTTCCTTTACCACATAGACTAGGAATAAATACAAAGTCTGAAGCACACTAAGCTTCAGATGAAGCTGTTACACCTTCTTTATATCAGCTGTAGTGATTTCAAGTACCTTTGAAAAAATAAGGAATCATGATTTTCTAGGCATTAGTATGTGTTTTATATGCAGTAAAAAAATCAAGAACAGAAAAGAAGTGACAAAAATGTGAGAGACAAAGAAATGAGACACGAAAGAACAGTGAGGGAAGACAGCTGAGAATTTATCGATGTATAATTCCCACCTTGTCATTAAGCCTGGAGAAGTCAGTGTATCGTCTGAAAACTACCCAATTTTCCTCTGGACTTCTTTTTACCAGTATTTTGTATACCTGTGTGGAAAGACAGGAATATCACACTGCATTGTCTGGAAGGCTGAAATTACCCTTTATCTCTTAAGGAAACAAACTGATGGATAAAAAAAATTCCTAATCAGATTAAAATAAACCCAAATAACTTAATTATCAGTACAAACAGTATAAATTAATTTCAGAATTTAAGGAAGGAGCTACTGTAATTCCTAAATACATTTAACTATTTCTGTCTATAAGAAAGCGTCTGTGAAACTGTATCCATATTTATTCTGGAGCAAAACACAAGTCTCAGCTATCAAAGAGGTAAAGGAAGTATGTTTTACTGATCTACTTTAACCTTTGCTAACTTATAGTTTTATTCATTGATCCTTGAGGCCAATCTGTTTTTAAGATGACTGTTAATAATAAGGTACCATGATATTGTTTTCAAAGGTCTCATCTGACTTGCTTCACAAGGAAAAGTGAAGCAGAACAAAATTACATCCTCCTTTGGTTGCATTTGTCTTGAAAATTAGCTTTTGTCTTTCCAGGTAAAATATGACTTCATTCTGATAACTGCATCAGAATGATTATACTAGCACCGCATAACTGAAGTCATGGAACCTTTGAATCAGATTTAGCAAGACAATAGCACAGCACTACCATACTCCTATTTAAAAGAAAATGGATAAATAAACAAAACAATAATAAAAAAAAAATCAAACAATTACTTTTTAGGAGGACTAATGCTCAAATGCCTGAACACAATGAATCTAACAACATAACTTCAACTAGAAAACATTAAACAGTGTCTAATGTCAAAACCTTACTTTCTCCAATGTAAGGAAAGAAAGGTTCTGCAATCATACTGGGTTAATTTCCCAGTCTACGTGTCTCTAGTTAAAAAAAAAAATAAAATACAACACAGAAAAAGATATTAGAATAGTAAGGATAAGAAATCTCTTACAGGCACTTAACCAAGTTCTATTTAAAACATTTTCTAATCTGTTACATAGTAAAATATTTTCCAGTATGTCACGCTTTCACAGCCGGTTTTCTTAGCTGATAAATGTATTTTTCTTGTTGCAGTCCCAACACACGATAACCCTTCTGCTTGCCAACCTCTGTACATGTGTGAGATTGGTTTTAGCAATTTTGTATTCTATAATATATTAAGTAGCAGACAGTTACAGAAATTACAGATAACTATGGTGCAAACTAAAAGCAATTTTTCAGCAAGTACTTATCTATGTTTTAAACACAGAACTTCACTTCTAAGTAACATCATCTCTGGAAGTCATGGATTGTGACTGAGGAGAAAGCCATTAGCTTTTAAAACTCAAGGTGTATGATGTGCCTACAAAGACAGCATTAAAATGTAATTCTTCTGTCTTGCATTTTATGTATAAAAGCTTGTTCAAGTATTTTAGCTTTCCTATCATACTAAAACTATAAACAATTTTAATAAATAAAACAAATAAAAAAATGTAAAATTGTGAAAACTCTTTGCTAGTACACAGTAAAACACAGAACAAGAAACTTTGGAATATTCTTGTGGAAGTACTTGCTAATCAGTATTCTATTACATTCTTTTATTCTACTAAAGGTTCTGCAAAGGCATTGCTTAAAAATGCACACATGAAAAAAAATTCATTTAGTCTCAGCTTCACTTTAAATGGTTTCCAAGTAAACATTAGACAAGTTGGTTTTTTTTTAAAGTCTTCACAAATTATGGTCAACTGAAGTGTGATAAGGAGTGCAATCAGCTTGTAATTAATGGTCTCCAAAAATATGTTTGACTTTCCCCTACAAGCTGAAAATGAGATGGTTGGCTTTTTTTTTAAAATTTATTTTAAAGATTACTAATTAATAAACAAGAACTGGAGTATTTAAAAACCCAACTCTCAATTTCTTCACATGTGATCCTGGAAGAAAATACAAATGAATTCAACAAATTCAATTAATTCCAGTCAATCATGACTTGCCTTATTCCACAAATACAAAATATTCAATGAAAAGATGCCAATATTTAGTATCAATCTCTGGCCAATTCAGCATCTCATTATCATTTCTACTTGGCTCAAAAGAAAGAAAAAAAGTGCTAATTGAACATTCCAGGACTGGTAATTCACTTGAGACCAACTGCTTACAAGGAGATGTTTTTCAGCCTAGGTTTTCTCTCACATAACCTTTAGCAGCCACGTACTCCAACATGCACTAACATCTAACTTTTGAAGTTAAGACATCATCCAGCTTAAGTAGTTCAGATTCATATTTTTGGAAACTATGAGATGCTACCAACAGTAAAAGAAACAAATTCAGCAATTAAGTCCCCTCTCTTTTACAGGTGATCTCAATTTAACTTCCACTGTCTTCCATCTTACTGATTTAGCACTGCAAAAGCAATTCAAATTTCTAGGACAAAATACTTGCTGGCCTTAATGCAAAATAACAAGCTTATTTTCAACATCCAACTGAAAACAAACAGTTAATTATGTGCTTTCAGAAACAAACACGGTAGAAGTGAATTCAGGAAGAAGAAAAACGCATCCAAGCATTTTAACAATGGAAGAGTGTTTCACTTGTACCATTAACTGGCCTTCTACATAAAATAAGGAGTCAAAGTTGTCATTGTAACTACAGTTGAAGGACACCTTACATGCACACTGGAATATGCCTTGGCAAATTTTTGACTTATTCCTTCTTCAAGGAAGAGACGGAGGTGCTGGAGTGCATCCAGAGAAGGACAATGGAGCTGGTGAAGGGACTGGAGCAGAAATCCTGTAGGGAGCGGCTGAGGGAGCTGGGGGTGTTTAACCTGGAGAAAAGGAGGCTCAGGGGAGACCTTATTGCTCTCTACAACTACCTGAAAGGAGGTTGTAGCCAGGTGGGATTTGGCCTCTTCTCCCAGGCAACGAGTGACAGGATGAGAGAACACAGCCTCAAGCTGCGCCAGGGAGGTTCCAGTTGGACATCAGGTTAGGAATTCCTTCATGGAAAAGGTTGTTAAACATTGGAATGGACTGCCCAGATAGTGGGAGTCACCATCCCTGGAGGTGTTCAAGAAACTACTGGACATGGCACTTAGGGCCATGCTCTAGTTGTCAAGGCAGTGATCAAAGGCTGGACTTGATCTTGGAGGTCTTTTCCAACCTAAATGATTCTGTGATATTTTCAGTCTAATCTTTGTCAATATAGCAATATTAATCATTGTTTTAGTTTTGAAGGTTATTTTTTAAAAGGAATTTTTTAATCTACATGTGAAAAAAAATTCTGCTCTTCTGTTATCCTACCATGCATAAACATATTAGAAACCAAAAATCTTAGGAAAAGACAGGCTATCATTCTCAAATACTTAAAAAGCAGCATTATTTAATATTTTGCAAAGAGAACTTGACTTCATTAGTATTTTAACTGTCATAAAGGCACCAGATTCCACACTAATATAAAAGAAAACAGGAAGGAAAAGAAGTTTGTTTGTCTGCTATTTCCTTCTCCTTACCTATTTCTGATTAATGTTGGTCATCTGAAGTAATTAATAATCAGTAACAAACAGCTTCCATCAGTCCCACAAGCATTACTGAATTATCTCAAAGAAATGTTTCAACCACATCCACAAAAACAAATGTAGAAATGCATTGATATATTTATGGCATGTAAAAAAAAATGAATTGCCAGCTACAGTACACTTTGAGAAAAATCAATACAAACTAGTTAGGCTGGTGTTCTGGCATGAGATATGGCATAAGTGACTTCTCACTCATGTTTGCAGAACAGACTTCCCCTTACTAGAACTCAGCAGGGCAAGAAGTTGAAACCTACATGTTTGCACTTCAATGCAAATATTTTAAGCTACTAATAACTGTAAAAGGCAAACATCAGGGTTTCTTATCATTAATTTCAAACAAAAAACTACATTTTATTTAAGATGTTTAGCTACCTAGAACTCCTACAAGTTCAATTTCACAAGGAATTGTAACTCTGCAAGGAATTCCTGACTTTTCCAGCTGAAATTTACCTGAAGTAGAATGAGTTTCTGCTATTCCACATACACAATTACAGGAAAGACTGCTTCCGAGTTCCAGTTTTCCACCTGTGTAACGGGATTGATATTTTCCTGTCAGGCAGTACTTTGAAGCTAAGCTGTTAAACTAGTAAAGCACTCCAATATCCCTGAATTGCAGGATTAATTACTAAAGGAAAATGCAAAGCACATTTAATTGTTATCTTGGAGTTACAGGATGAACTACGCTATACCCAAAAACTTACAGTGAATTTTGCCCTTTCCTCCATCACCTCATAGCCCAGTATAGTAGGCGTAGACGGTCGATCTTCCCAGCTCCTGGAATCTGTATTCTGCTCTATTTCTTCTACAGGCTGAGTACAATATTCTATGGATGGATCCAGACCTGTAAATTTAGTCCTAACAAGTGGACTGCTACACGCAGACGACGTAGAACCAATCTGGTCAGGCACGCTCATCTTTTTAAAACTACCAATTGTACAGTCCTCCAGCTGTCCTTTTGAGGAGCTCGAACTTGTCGAGATGCTCCCAAAAGAAGAACTTCTTTGGTTTCTGTTTGTAAAGCTGGATGATGAACTTCCAATAGGAATAGGAACAGGAACATATGGTGTTGCCATCCTTCATGAAGAAACCTCTCAGTTTTTGGTCCAGGAATTTAAGCTTCATTCAGTGTATAAGCCATGTTTCCTCTTCTTTTCAGGAACAGTACCTGCAGCGAAGGATAGAAAAATACTGTTCTCATTTCTAAGTCAAAGCAACAGTAAGATACTGATCTGGAAAAAATCTGTATGAGCTTTGAGATGGTACATAGCAGTACTGATGGCTAAACATTTTCACAAGGAATTAGGCTTCATATAAAATGCTGCTTTTAGATCGTATTCTACCATTTGACAGAGAACTTTACAGCTCTTTCACAACTATTAAAATTAAAATGACAAAAAGTTAAAGCAAGATTACAAAGAGAAAAATATTTTTGTCCCTTATGGTTTAAGTACTATTTTGTTTTACCCAAAGCGTCAGCAATTTTTGGGCATATAAGAAGCTGATGTAGCTTTAGAGACTTTAATTTTAACAGCACGAGAGGTTTTCTCAGAATTGCTTCTTTAAGACATTCAGAGCAGACTACGTGAGCCACACACACATGTAACAATATACATGACATGAATCAAAAGACATGACAGTAAACAAATTAGGTGAAAAACATATTTGCATATTACACATTCACTGAAGTATAATGGATCTGTTTTCAATGTTTTTCAAAACAACTCTATTGCATATAATGCTGCAGGTATTTGTCACAATGTTAAATGGGCATACTTTCTGGAGTTTGAATTGGAGCAATTAAGTTTTACAAGCATGCACATCAGAAGCAGGGTTTTAACAACAGCCAGTTTTCCATTCCAGCAGATTAAAATGGAAAAGCAAGTGTAGGCAAAACAGATAAACACATTATTTAATATTTTTTTCTTCAACAAAACCATTTCAAACCAATCTTTTGTGTGCATGTGTGTATATGTATAAAAAAAAGCAAAATAAAATTAAGACAGCAGTATCAAACTGCCAAAAAACTTCTCGTTTTAGCAAAGTACCCAAATAAGAACTCTTACAAGATGCAAATTAAATGCCACCTTTTTGGACTAACAAGATTTGAGCCACCAACCATTTCACCCAGGAATATACCAATCGACCATGATGGTGCAGGAGGCTGTGGAATGGGAAATGGTCAACCTGATTCACATTATATTATCAATCATCTACTGAGTAAAAACCAAATAGTTTGCTAACTGTGAGGGTAAAATGATGCTTTCATTCTCTTGCTCTAAATAAATCTTAGAGAACATGAATAAGGAAATAAATTTTAAATGAACCAGCATCAGCAAGACTGAAAAATGCTCTTGAACAAATTCCTTGAGTGAAGGAAAAAATAAACTCAGTCATCTTTTTAGCTGTATAAGGAAGCCCTCACACACTCTGCTAGAAAGCTCAAGGAACTTCACCAGCAAGAACAATTTCAAACTGGCAGTTATTCCTCGGGAACACCTCTACTTCACTGTGGATGACGCTCAGCAGCATCTCAGGGAGCTGAAACGTCACCATCATAAACCGCTGCTGATTGACTTTGCTGGTCAGGTACAGGCTTTGGACTATCCAGCAGCTTCTGTTGCAGCACAGTCCTGTGCTCGGCTGTGTGACTGAAGCCACGTGTCAGGCAGCTGACCTGCTTCAGCCTCCCTCAGTATGAGAGAAAACAAGTCACACCTGCTCCTGAGACAAGATGTTCTCCTGGAGCTACACCAAGATCTAAATTCCTTTTTCCACCTGTATCTCAGTAAGTAAATCTATTTTCTGCCCTGAACAGTAAGCTTTGCAATAATTTTTCTTTAATACAAATAGACACATCAAGGTATGAAGTATTGTCTGATAAATTTTCTCTAGCAATATTCTCTAAATAAATAAATAAATATCTAAATGAAACACCGAAAAAGGTAATTCCTTTTTCACTTGCCACTTCAGTGACTCTTCCATGCTACCTGCATAAAGAATTGAGAACATGCCTTAAAGAATGTCCGATACAGGTACGTTACTAGGATGTGTGATATTAAATCCCTACAAACAGAAGAACCCAGCTGAAACAAGATTGTAACAAATCGAAGAACCTGTAAGTAAAAAGTGATTATCTTGTGCTGCATGACTACAAACCAGGAGAGGAAAGTAAGCCCCCATCTCAGAGAATCTGCTGAAGTTCACTTCAGAGTCTGTAGAATTTTGAGAAGAAAAAAACACTTGTGCTTTTCAGCACTTTATGATAAGAAAAACAAACAAACAAACAAACAAAAAACCTTCAAAACCCTACACAGACATTTTCACCAGTTACAATACTTGGGAAAAGTGTGTTTCCTAAAACAACTTCTTTCTTTAAAGTGAAGTTCCAGTCAAAAACTCATTATCTTGAACTGATTTACTTACTACTCTTCAGTGCATATGCATTTCTGAACAGCTGCACGTAACAGTGGCATGCAACATAACAAAGACTAACCTGAGAATAAAATACTTGGTGTTAAGAAGCCAACACCGACACTGAATGTGCTTCAGCAGCTTTCATGTCAAACCAGCTGTAATTTGGTACCACTGCCTGAATGCTTATTAGCAGCTGGACTGCACTAAGCCTGCTCCCAGGGTATGTTTTCTACTTTAGTTTCTTTTGTACTCGGCAAGGCCACTCCAAATCACGGGCACATTACATGGTGATGATGACTCTATTTTCTTCTAAAGGACGTTCTCTACTCAATCTGACACAGTAAACACACCCATAAATAAATAAAAGGGACTGATACTACAGTGTCACAGAAAAGTATTCTCTGAGCAACAGAAATGGCAGGTCTAGTGAGCAAAAGGCACACCGTGTCACTTAATTTGATTTTTTTTGTCAAAAACAAACAAAACCCCAAACCAACCAAACAAAAAACCTCACCAGCAGAAAGAGAAACATACAAAAACATTACATTAGAACTTAAAAGACTCAAAAATACATATATATGCATAAATACGTACGTAAATCCATCTTGAACTGCAGAAGTATCCTAATTTCCAAATATGTAAAATATTTACATGCTATGAATTACAACAGGGTTTAAAATCACATTAATTTGCACTTTATGAAAGCTGAACATTAGGAAAAAATACAATGGTCAAACGAGGGTCACGATCTTAGGAATCAAGCCTTTTCTACTAATATAGTTTACTGCCAATTCATGCAATAAAAGAAACAGTAAATAATTTCATTAAAAAAAACCCTTTTACACAAACCACATCACTCCTTGCTTATGTTGGTGCAGCAAGAAGGGAAGATTTAGCTGTACACTGCTACTCCCCAAGCTTCACCGTGGACTGGTCTCAGGTCACTGCACAGAACTAGTAGAATCATTGCACCACACCAACTATCAGAGCAAATAGATCGCTCACGACACCTATGAGACAACCCAGAGACTGCACTTTCTTGTCTGGATATTCACTCTACTTTTTGCAGGAAATTTGCTTCTTGTTCAGAAGCTGTATTTGGTTTAGCTTGATTCCCAACTCTAAGTTAAGAACGGAACAGAAGGAATAGAACATTTGCTGGAAGCACTGGACTGCGAGATCTGAAACAGGATAGGACAGTCCCGGCAACCAAGCCGTCACATGCTACAGAGCAGCATGACACCAGCTTATCCCGGTGTTTACAGCAGCCACCTCCCTTTCTGCGGGTGAAGCAAAGAGGCTGTAATAAAACCACTTAAAAAGGGTTCGCCTCCAGCTTGCAGCTATCGCAATTCCAAACCCTCTTAAGCTAATGGTTTGTATGTTCAGAGAGAAACATGTAAGCCACACGATTCAAGGATAATAGACTGGAAACAAAGCAATCCTTACTTAACAGCTGTAATTGGATTTAAAAGACTTTTAGCTATGCAATACTATTTGTGATCTGGTTACAGATATTACGCCTGTTTGGACAACGCAGACGAGCTGACCTCTGATGTTTAGGGTTTAAGTGCTACTGTGGAATGTCCACTGAAGAACAAGTGGAATATTCAGAAAAACAACAACTTGCTCAGTTAGGTTTAATGATTTTTTTTTTTAATAATAATAATTTTGTGCCGCCTTCAGCCAAGTTACCTGTCAACATTTTTCACCTGGTTATGAACTCGAAACTGGGGGGCTTATTTATCACACCTCGCGCATACGCACACACGGAGGTGGGGAACTCCTGCTCCAAAGAGTCTGTGACAGAACTAGAAACCACTGAATGTACCCTGCCTCCAAAACCTGCACATCAGGATGCGCCTCCTCCTCCGTGACGGGACGGTTCTGAAACGGGAGAACCGCCCCAGCCCCGCCGGTACAGCCCAGGATGGTCCAGTCCGGCCCCGCCGCGCTCGGGGCCGCGCTCCGGCAGCGCCGCCACCGCTTTACGTAACTCCCGGGGCGGCCGCCGAGCCCGCGGCACCGGCGGGGCCCCGCGAACTCCTCCGTCCCTTCTCATGGGGGCTGCGGGGATCGGCGGCGCCGGAGGAACCACCCCGAGGTGCAGTTGGTGAGGCGCCGCTCCTCACCCCCGCCCCGGGCAACGGGGGAGGCTGTCCTCGCCGTCCCGCCCGAGCGCGTTCGGACCCGGCGGTGCCACCGCCCGCGGCCGCCTCCGCACAGGTGCGCGAGAGCTGCGGGAGCTGCGCCACTGGCGCGGCGCGAAGGCGGAGAGAGCCGTCCTTGCCTGGCGTGGGACGGGCGGCGGCGAGTTTCATCTCCGCTCCCGCGGGAACCCCCGCCCGGGCTCCCGCCCCCGCTCCCCTCATTCCCGGTGCCGGCGCCTCCCACCCCGCCGCTCCTGGCACGCGCCCGCGCTCACCTGCTCCCGCCGCCGCGCGCGCGCCCCGCTCCGCCGCGCCGCCGTCAGCCCTGCCCCGCCCACCCCGCGGGGGCGGAGCTCCGGGGCGGGTGGGGCGGGGCCGCGCGAGGACTGCGGGAACCAGCGTGTCCGGGCGCGCGGTGCATTGTGGGTGTTGTAGTGCCCCGGCTCGCGGTGTGGCTCCCGCGGGGCGTGGCCGCCCCCTGTGCGCGGCTGCGCCTCCGCGCGGGACAGCAAGGAACGGGAGGGAAGGGAGGTTTTCGCTTTCCCGGATCCCGGGTGCGGGAAAGCCCTCGACCGTGTCCAGCTGCGGGTTGTTAGCGTGGTTTCGCGTAGCACCGCTGTAAAGCCCCGCTGTACCGCGGGGTGTGCGCGGGGCAGCGGAACGGGAGTAACAGTGGAGCGCCGTGGAATTACACGGGCAAAAGTGATCAGGGAATTTCCCGAGGGAATAGGGGGCGTTGTGTGTGGGTGTGGAGGGGGGGAGGAAATCACTGTTCTGAAATAGTGGTGGGAATAAAGCAGCATCTCGCTATCTCGTAGCGACCTAGGGTATGTAAACAGGAGTGTGGAACTCTGGAGAAAATGAACATAGCACAGTTTGTGTTACAAGTACATTATGTGTATTTTTTTTATACATCATGTAAAAACACAGTACCTAGAATTTCTGAGAAAGTCTGTCGGGTTTTCATCCGGAGGTTACCACGTACCTGAGTTTTTCTGGGGTTGCCCTTTCCCCCTCTTTGGATCTATTTTCTGGCAGGTACATGGGCATTTTAGGATTTCACGGTGCTGGCAGCTGCTAGAGCAGTAGCTGTGCCTGCTGCCCGACATCTCTCCTGTTTCGTGGCTCTGGAAGATATGGCAGCTCTTGTTCCTGCTGTGCAGCTCATCTGCTTGTTTATCGTAAACTCGATACCTTTTGCAGGGCACAGGCACACAAATAGTGTAGCGAAACTGTGTTGTAAGGTGATCTAGTCTGTGACTGCAAACAGGTGTATAGGCCTGTGGCATTGCCCATGTCACTATACTGCCCTGGGGGCTGCTGTTACCATCAGAGTGAAATTCTTCTACAGGAATTATATTCTTAGAGTACTAGGGAGCTGCTGTGGTGGGGATTTTTGTTTGTTTGGGTTTTTGTTTGTTTTTTTTGTTTGTTTGTTTGTTTTCTTTTCCCCTGTACCACATTTTTTCAGCGTACGCTGGGTTTTCTGGAATTAACTTTGAACTTACTGGTTTTTATGGATGCTGGTCTTTTAAGCAATTTCCTCGGAGTTGGCAGGGTAGCTGGTATTTGTCATGAGTAGAATTAATAGTTTTGAAAAGCATTTATTTGTGAATGACTAGTTCAGAAGCCATGCCACGGGGATCTTTTTTGGATCTAATTCCCTCTTTAACTTCTCAATTCTGTTTTAAATATGTAGTACTCAGAAGAGAAAATGCACTGGATTTTAGAAATGCATTTTAGTAATAAATATATTAAATCTGAGGAAATTTAATCAATTGCATTTTGAAAATTGCAGTGCCGAACCAGATATGCTGAGCATGTAACTATTATGAATTTAAACTTTATGTCACTCAAGATGAAAATTTTGTTTAACATATAGCAGCAGAAAAGAAAAAAGAATGTTAGAAACAAGAGAATACTAATTTCCACTTGTTCAGAACACTTCTATAGTAGTTGATCATGTCTGACTATTACAATGATTTTGTTGTATATTCTGTGTTTGAATTTTTTTAACTGTAAATAGTTATTTATAAAGTTCCCTACCTACACCGATCTAGTTTTTGAAAACAAATGAGAATTTTTTTTTCCACATCTAGAAGCATTTGATAGTTATGAATGCATGTTTTTCAGTTTGCTAGTCTGCTATCCTAAGAGATGAAACATGATTTTATTGTACAGGTTAACATAAAATTTTTAACAGCCTGCCCAATGATAGAGAAGTCAGTTTTCATTGTGCCGCTGTCGATCGAACAAGAGTCCTATCCCAAATGCTTTGAAGCAAACAAGATATATTTTGTCACAGTGAACAGATATAGGAACAAGGTGTGAGGTTGCATTTTTTTGGTCATTTGGAAATTCCAAAGAAGTTCGTAGGATTTTTGGCTGCTGAGGAATGTGGGCTCAGTGCCCTCACAAGGCGCTATCCACCCACAAAATCATCAGGAAAGACTGTTGTTTCACTGGCGGGAGAGAAGCTATGCAGGGTTAAGATGAATTAAAATTGGGTCTGTGCCCTTCCTGGTTTTCTCTTTGTGGTCGTTCTTCCCTGTGTACTCCGGCTGTAGCAATCCGTAAGGCTTTGGGAAAGAACAGCCTCACTTTGTCTATTTGTGTAAGCAGATAAGTCTGTTACTCCCATCGCAGGCGAGATGAGCCACCCTGTGGCAATACCCTGCAATTCACCTTCATGGAGGCGAAAGTTCAACAAAACTGGTTGCTAAATGTGTAAAACAGTTGAAAATATTTGCTCGGTTCTTTCTGCACATATTGGTACCAGATGTCATCCGTGTTCTGCCTTCATGTGCTAGTTATTTGATCTTCCAGAGGATTAGTGTATATTTATTATAGGTCTGATCAAAATCTGTCTGGTCATTGTAATCCTTTGTGCCAAATACATGATTTTTGCTAATGCTAGCTGGTTTGCTAGCTTAATTTAACCTTGTTTGGGGGCAAGGACTTGCAGAATCAGAAAAGCCTATTAACGTAAAAGAACTTTATGCAACCTCTGTGAACTTCCTAACGCTTTCTCTGCTAGGAAGAAGAATGCAGAAACTGTTAATTGTGTAACACTAGTGGTTCAGCAATGCCTCCTTTTGTTTTAAGAAAATAACCCCCAAAAATAATCCTATAGGAGAGAACTCTGGCATAATGTTATTGAATTAAATGCAGCTTCTTTTGTGCTAGTTGAGGCAAATTGTGATACGTTTTCAAAGTCCCACATGCCCCCATGATCATGTGAAAAACTGAAGGTAGACTTTCAATCAGGTTATGGGACTTAGGTACTCAAATCTCATTGCATTTCAATTGGATGCAGGCACTCAAATTCCATTGTATTTTAGTATCCATGCATTCAACTCCATTATTTTCCAATGGGATTTGGGTCTTTCTCTCTCAGGATACTGTGAAATCTATGACTTGGAGGATATTTGTTTTATGACAAAACGGCCAATTTTCTTTCTCAGCTGTATGGTCTTCAGCGTTAGAAGAGATGGAGTTTCTCCTAAAGGCAATTCTTTGTTTAATTCCTTCCAGGTGTAAAAACTACACAACTGTAAAGTACAACTGGGTACTTTGGAAGTAGACATAAGCATTGGAACTGGAAATTTCATAAAATGGGGGCATCCAGATCCCGAGTTTTGATCATGTAATACTTTTACCAGTTGCTATGCGTCTCCTAGAACGCATCCATCAACGCTGCCTCCGTACAATCCTGAACATCCACTGGTCAGATTATGTGACCAATACATCTGTTCTAGAGCAAGCAGCAGTCACAAGTATTGAGGCCATGTTGATGAGAACACAGCTGCGCTGGGCAGGGCACGTCTCCAGGATGAAGGACCACCGCCTCCCTAAGATCTTGCTTTACGGTGAACTTGCCACTGGCTGCCGCAAGAGAGGAGCCCCGAAGAAAAGATACAAGGACTCCCTGAAACAACATCTCAGCCTTGGCCATATTGATCACCATAACTGGTCTACTCTGGCCTCCAATCGGGAGGCCTGGAGACACGCCATCTATAACGCAGCTGTCTCCTTTGAGAACACACGCAGGATCACTCTCGAGGAGAAAAGGCAACGCAGAAAGAACCGTGTTTTGCAGAATACACCATCTAAGGAGTCCTTCTGCTGTGCCTTTTGCAATCGGACATGTCTGTCTCGTATTGGCCTCATAAGTCACCAACGTGGCTGTAACAAATGTGGATAGAGCCTTCCCAAATCTTCGTTCGTGAAGCCTAGCCATGAGATGTCATTCTAAAGTGTCCTCACTTCCTAGGTATTGTATCAGCATGTGTCTATGTTGTGTCTTAATACTTCCTATGTCTGTATGATAATATTTCCGCACATATTCAGGGGGACCTTGGCTTTTGAAAGGCTGAAAAACCATGACCTTTTAACATATACCGTTTGAGAGCTCCTGTCCTTGCAAGGTTGTGCTACTCCAGATATCCAGTGGTCAAAAAGGACTGAGGGAGAGGTAAGAGATGGGATTTAAATTCCATTGTGGGCTGGCTCGTTGCAGGTTTGGCCTGACTTTCTGTGATTCACTGCTCTGTGGCTGACTGCATTCAAGTTTCCTTAGAACACATCACGGGGCACCTCACTTGTGCAGTACAGGCTCCTGGAAGCCTGCACTTCTTGTTCTGAGTTTGAAGTACCACACTGAGGACTAGGCTCTCCCAAACTCTGTTTCTTTCTTAGCTCTGAGTCTTCATGTTTTCTAGCTCAGGTTTTGAGTTTCAGACTTGACCCTTGACCAAGACTCTGAGGTGTGGGATACTGGTTGCCCCTTTGGCACCCAGCTGATTACTCTCAGCCTGGTGACATCTGTATCTTCTGATGCCCTAACCTTACTCATAATATCATGTTACACCTAAGTTGGTTTCAAGGTGGTATCCTGATAATAGTCTTTTTATGGAATAAAAGTAGACAAGATAGGCTTTTTGTGGAGTACCAGGTTCACATATGTAGTTCAGCTGTTGCATGTTATTCTGGCGATTCACTGAGCTATGAATGGGACTTAACAATTTTCTATTCAGTTATGCCTGTTGTGATTCTTTCTCAGATGGGAGTCCTCAAGTAGGAAAGCAGAAGCAGCAGCCTCTGTCTAAGGAGTTAAGAAATTTCTGCCTTCCAGAGGCTAGGTCTACTTTGAGTTATAAAGAATATTTCTCTCAAGGATTGCTTCTGGATAGAGAACCTTATGGGTGTTACGGCCAGAATTTTCAGTTGAATAAACTCTAAGTGTGGGTTTTAAAATACTATGAGTTGCAGCATTTACTTTTGTCCTGTAGCGGGATCCCTAGGAAATTGTGTCC